TACAGATTAGATTGGCTTTTGATAAGATTGGAGGAACTTCGACTAAAAAGAATTATTTCAAGAGTAAGAACGCATTTTTAGGTAATGACGCAGTTGCATTTTACTTTAAGGAGTACAAAAAAATGTTTCAACTTCTTTTGAAAGTATTTTTCCATTAAAAAAGTAATTAAATTAAATTACTCTTGCTTTCAGTGCAGAAACAATTAGAGAACTTAAGTTTGTAATATAGGAAATTGGTTTTACCAATATTTTTAGAATGATAAGGCACTACTTTGTACTCGGCACTTCCCCCATTATGTGGTCTTAATTTCTGAACGATAAGAAATCATAGCTTACAGCCAAGTGATTTTCTCTTTATTTGCTTTCTGTTATACTTTATTATTTTACTGCCGCGTGTTTTGCAATTTACTCTTCCTGTGCTCGCATGATAAATGAGTTTCAACACAGAAACAAATTCAATTCGGCCCCAAAACTGATAAACGACCCAAAAATAAAAAAGCCAAATAAAAAAGCGCCAACAAAGAAATCGTCTATGCTTATAGATATTTTTTTTTTTGGCTGCAAATGAGAACAAGTTTACTGAGGAGTAAAAATGGAGTACGGAGTACAGAGGAACACTCATCAAGATGCTTTATTACCTGAGTGCATAAATCTCCCAGCCAATGACAGCATCCTAAGCAGAGCATCCTTAAGGGATCGCAGACTCAAGGAAAAGGAATCATTTAACCCTTTCCTTGGCTCGGGGCGTGGTCTTTTGAGTGTAGGCTTTAATCTTCAACTGTGTGTTTGGACAGCAAATTGAATGAAATTGCTCCTGAATCTAATTTATCAAAATCCAACACATGTTTCGCTTTTGGGAAGATCCAACGAGAGTTCCGCCATCTGCTCTTCTGTTTGTTTGGATGTTCGCGCTATTCGCTAATGATGCGTGAATTTCTGTGTCAATTTGAATTGTTTTTGCGATGGATTTCTGGCCGATGAAGTCATGTTGTTTCGACGACGCCACCCGCTACAATATTCATACGGAATGCGGCTGCACGTGACACTGGGCGAATGTATCTAACGGATACAGTTTCAGGTACACACCCATTCACATCCCCAACCCCATCTCCAAACCCATTCCATCTTTCTCGAATTGCGTGACGCTGATGATGATGATGATGCCCCAGGGCGAACCTTGAAGTGTCACAATCATTCGTGCAGAACTTTTCTAGTGGAGGAGACCTCTCCGAATAAGACAACAGTTGGACGAGTGGGTTTCCCCTCCCTCAGGTGTTCGCCTTATTGTTTTGTTTGTTTTGACTTGTAATTAATTGGTAAGTGCGACTGTTTAGCTGCGTTATTCGAGCCTAGAATGGAATCGGGGAGTGTTAAATAATTTGTTTACCGAAGTTCGACTTAGGTGCGCTTTAAAAAGTAAATAAACAACATTTAATCCAACATAAATGATTGCTAATAAATGCAATTTGGGATGTGATAACTGGTTACTTAAATATTTTGAGGTTTTCTAAATATTTTAAAAAATACATAAATGTGTTGTTACAGTAATATCTCTTAGTTTATTTACTTTATTTATGGGATTTATGCAGTACTTTCAACTCGCTTAATTTTCTAGTATTTTTTATATTTCTTTCTCTGTTAACCTTTAGGGCGCCTTTCACTTTGTTTATTCCCCATTTTAGTTACCTTTTCCTGTCTGCAACTTCCTCCTCCTTCGCCAGATTCACTGGTAATCTTGTTTGTGCGATCGCCCTTTTTGCCTCGAATCATTTGTGGGCTTTGCTAATTTTCTTTGCCTTTGTTGGGTCGTCAGAAGCAGAGGATCTGGTAGAAAAGAATCGGAAAAGAAAACCATTCCCTGTGTAGGCTACTTTTTTTTTTTTGCTGGTTGCTAGCGACTTTGCCACCAGTCGCCGTGATCTTCTTTCACCGATCTCTGGGCAAATACAAACGGCGAGCGGGACAAAAAGAAAGTAAATCTGGTTTTGGAGCAGATGTGCAGTAACTCCGGACGTCTTTCGACTATGGAAACGCCAACACCGAGATCATCTAAGGACAGGGAAGGAAAAAGAAGGGAATCGAAGGGAGATGGATAGAGGGGATCCTGAGATTTATGGCCTGTTGTTCGCCAGATCTTTTGAACTGGACACTGTCGACACGGTCAGCCTACCTAAATATTTTCGTAGGTTTTTCGTGGGCCAATGCAAATATGCAACTCGTATCCATGTGATTTATCCCATAAGATCGAACTGCTCTATCGCCATTCATATTTCCCTGAAAGGCGAAGCGAATGGGGAAAATATTCCTTTATTATGGTTATGGCTTATTAAAATCTCATTATCTGACCATTTTTGGGCACGACCAAAGTATCAAAACATTCGTGGCACGAATTGTTTGCCATTTGTGGCATCTAATTAGCGGGAATTTAAACCGTACTCAAGGCTAAAATGTTGCAGCTGGTTTAGCCAAAGCTGTTTATTCAGTTTTAAGGTTTTTTTTATATTTATATTTGATGTATTTATCAATTTTGTGTTTGTGGTTTTATGGGTTGGCCAGCCATTTAATGGGATCTCTCAGCTGTATTTGAGCGAAAGGATAGTCGTAAAATGCGATGACAGTTCTAACTGCTTCTTGTTGTGGCTACCGTAAACAACTAAACGGTTATAAACATTTTACGACAATTCCTGCGATAATCCTTGGCGCCTCCTGGACAAATAGAATTAAGGTATACGTCATTCTTGGATGCCCGGCACGCTTCTGGGTGATAAAACTCAGCCTGGTTTTTCAGTTCGGTTACAGCTGCTGTCAGTCATAAAACTAAGCCATCTATATCTTGAAGTTTTGGGTCATAAGGTCACCTGGCTGTGTAAGGAAAACACGTTTCCAAGGAGAGTTGGATTGAAGGACAAGAAGGGGAAAATGAATATTTCATATTGTTCGCTAATTAAAATGCTTAACCCACATCAAGAGCTGTAAGTCCCGAGCCTTCTTATCGCCTCAATGGCCAAAGTATATAAACACAAACAAACAAAAACTCAAAGAGTAAAAAGTAAAGGCCAAACACAAATCCAAACCGAGGAAAAACCCCTTTCAAACAACAAACACGGACACTTTCACCTCCCTTGATTTGATTTGGGCCTAGAACAAGAAATGCAAATGGAAATGAAAAAAAACGGAAATCGAATGTCTTTTGGGTTCCAGCTAGTTTGCATACGTAATTACTTCGGGAATTTTGACAACGATGGCGACATTTGACATGAGTTTGAGTTACGATCCCGCAGAGATAAAGATGCAGCCAGGGGATAGTTACAAGACAGAATGGAAAGAAAGAAAGGGTTGCCCTTGGGCTGGTGGTTTGAACTTCACACATAAGCCGATCGCCATCCCGCTCTGGATCTTAAATTCCCTATCCCCGATCCCCGATTCTCGATTCCAATCCCTCAGGTGATAGTTAACCCCAGACCAGCGGTGTGTCAGACATTTGACATCATTAGTCAAACTTAAAGACGCATTTGTAACTGGCTTGTAACTCTAAGCGCTTTAGGCTAATGACGAGCCATTAATTAGGCGGGATTGTCTATCGTGTTGGCCCACAATTTGTTACAATTCGAGCATTGGGAACCGAGAACCAGTCTCTGTTCGCCATCTTTGATCCGAAACCTATTTCCATTATACTCAAAAAAAAAAAAAAAAAAAAGGAAGAAAAAAAGGCATGCAAATTGCAAAACCGCGCTAATTTTTACCCTGCCATATCGCTTTCAATTGGACTCAACAATTCTTGGCCGGATTTATTTCGGTGTTTCCAGTATTATATAACAAAAGGCATATTTATTTCGTTTTAATTTGTAATTTTGCGCTCTGGTCAGCAAGGCGAGTCAGCAAGAGAGTGCAAACCAGTTGAACTTGTCTTGTCGTCCGCTGTCCATCGGCTCAGTCGATTAACAAGCGGCTGAGGAAAACAAGTTCCCAGCCCTGTGACAAACCCTTGAGACACGCCATACACATCCTGATCCATATCCATGTCCATGTCTGCATATGTTTCTTTGGCCATGTCCCTGTCGTTCTCAATCCAAAGGCAAAGTCCTTACTGTTTACTTAAGCAACTCTTAACAACTCATAATAGAGCAATTTTCACGTAGCCCTCTGCCTTTCAATCCAGTAAATCATCACCGGGCAACCCGACCATTCAACTGGTCAGCCATTGTCACTCCTTCTACCCCGAGTTCTCTCCCTTGAATAAAAGGAGTAAAGTAGCCTGGTCAGCCGAAATCCCCTTTTGCTGAAGTGAAATTGATCGCGGGCACTTGGAAATCTAATGGCTCGGGCTTGGCCCTTCGCTCCTTCCAGAAGAGATTTATGTTGGCACCTTAATGGTGTTTTCATTTTTGGTTTAGCAGATAGTTTAAATCGGGCGTGATGTGCAGAGGACGGAGATCTTTCGAAGGAGCCGCAAAAAGCTCAGCCGCAAACAGCTGGTCCACCTTGATATCGGGTTCCTTGGGCATTTCAATTAGCTACCCATTTATGGACCATTTCCTAGCCTTGAAGCCCTGAAACCTCGAATACCTTAAGTCTGATTGAGTGACTGCGACTTGACAATGAGCTAATTTAAATCAGAAAAGTGTTCGAGCAAACTGACAATTTAAAAGTTTTTTTTTTTTTGTATCAGACAGACAATTGCCAAAAATTGAAAAGAAGGCTTCCTGGCAAACATTTGTGCTGTCAATCAGGCCAGCAGGCTAAACATACGCTCGAAGGATGATTTATGTGAGTTAGGGCATCCTTTGGTAAGGATACATTTGCATAATGATGGGAGGATGTATTCCTGAGAGCTCGAAACTTTTGGCCGCGACATGTAGGTCAAAATGAAACGGGTTCGTTCTTTTTTGAGATCGCTAATTACGCTGCGGGAACTTGTTTTGTTTTTTTTCTACTCTGCTCTACATCCCAACTAGAAACAGAAACCCTTTGGCTAATGATAATTTGATGTTTTCTTACAGATTCGTTTGTGAACAGTCAGGAATGGACGATTTCGCGCTCGGTACCCGATTTAAGGCTGGGAATCGTGGGTTCACTGAACTCGGGAAAGTCGGCACTGGTTCATCGATATCTCACAGGATCCTATATGCAGGAAGAGTCTCCCGAGGGCGGTCGCTTCAAAAAGGAGGTCTTCATCGACGGCCAGAGCTACTTGCTGCTCATTCGCGACGAGGGTGGAGCTCCCGAAATGCAGGTAAGTCCTTGGGGTTTGTTTTTTTATATCCATGAAATATTCATGGGTATGGGAAAATGATGTATTGCTGGGGGTAGCACTTTGACGGGAAAGTTTGCCGTGCCGTAGACAAATAAATTTTCCCTTATCATCTTGTAAATATTTGAATTGAGGTCAACGTGGGATCAACTGGGCGAACATCTGGGGGTTGTTGCCCCCCTCACTTAGTTTTTATTTATCAATATAATTTGATTGAAATGCCTAGAACTTTCCCATTGCGGCTCTCTCAGACATATTCCTTCCAACCAATTATCCAAGTTTTGGCCACTCCACTTGCCTTTAGTTTACTTTTTCTGCCATTGCGCTAAACTTTTGCCTTGACTGGTCTTTAGGGAGTTGGGGGGGGTTTTTTCTTTTTTTTCGGCCCGGTCATGAGTCACTCGCAATCGAACTTCGACCTTTGGCAGACGAGAGGCGACTTTGTCGCACTGCCAGATAAGCGATTTCAACGTGTCCAGTTTTTGTTGGCCATTATGGCAGTACGTGATGCAGCATCACATCGCCATCATCCCATCATCCTCTCCTGGCCGAGAGCCAATAACTTGGCCCGCAGGGCTTGAGTTTGCCCAGTGCAAAATACACACAAAACACAATGCCGCCGAGCGAGCTCTCAGCAGATTGCCAACCCCTCAGCTGCAGTTGGGCAATCAAAAGTTCCTCCGGCCCCGAACCGAATGCAATTGAATTCGTCTTTTGTCAATACGAATACAAATACGAGTATACTCGCAATTCCTGAGATTGGGTTGCGTAATTAAAGGCAACTTAACCACGGGCTATTTACATTTGAACACGGGGCCTTGACTCATTGATTCCCCCGAGGCTTCTGTGGCTCAAGGAGCTTTTGTTCGGCGCTCGGCTTTGATATTTCATTGCTCTACGTACTGTATGTACTGTTTGCATTTGCATTTTTGCAATTGCAATTTCGCATTTCGCTAATACCCTTCCCCCTGCCAAATTTTCCCAAGTTGGCGAGGCCTTCTGCGCCTGCGGCTTAAAGGGTGAAAGTGAGGATTATAAATTTTAAGCTGCTTTTGCTTTTCACTAGTCTCTCTCATTTTTTATTTGCGGTTCTATTTACACGACTCGAGGGGAAAGGGGGAGGGTCGCTGGGCGGTAGCTAGGGGGTTGCTTAAAAAAAAATGTGCCAGACACGCGACCCTCGAAATCCCAATAATATCCCTATAATCCTTGCTCTAGTCCCGCTGACTGACAGTCTTTCAATATTTGCTATCTCCCGTTGTTAGCGATTCTTATTCAAATTGCATTTTCTACTTCCGTTCTGTTTAATTATAAGTTTGGAGAATTTTTGCAAGTCAAGCAGATGATTGACCTAAATTATCGCTGGGATACATAACAAAGGATTAAGACTCAAAATGGTTCAAAAGGGAAGAGTTTTTTATAAACAGTTCGAGAGGCGAGGTTTTAGAGTAACTGGATTGTAAGGAAACAGTTTTAAATGACTTTAAAATATTTATTTGAAATATTATGCAAATAAAGTTATTTTTTCGTTTAACAGTTTTAATTAAACAAGTTTTTTTCATTATTTTGATAAAAGCTTGAGATTGACACATTTAATTAACAATTTTTCTCGCTTCACCGCACTGTAATGCAACTTTCTCCCAATGCATATTGCATAACCATTGAATTCGCTCCATGTCAAACTGTCAATCAGCCCTTTCACTTCAGCGCACACACTCCAATCGACCTCCCACTTTTGCTTCATTTGTGATTCTTTCCATTTCAGAAAATCAACTAATTTTATACCACTTTCTTCGGCTAACTCTCGTGTCAGTCACATCTTTATGGGACATAATAAACCCATATTTCATCAGCAAAATAACCCTCATTTGTGTCGGCAATCGGCAGAAGTTACGTCAAGAGTAACTGTAACGCTAACCCACCCAAAAACCTACCCAACAACCCAAAGTTCCACCCTCGCAGGAAGAACAGTCACCCAACTTTTGGGTGGAATCAGTCATTCAATGGTCTACTCGTCGCCACTCTGTCGCATTTGAAGTTGCTTTTTTCGGTTTCCCCAGCGAAGGATATCATTACCATATACGAGTCACGAGACGTCGGCGAAAACAGCGACAACAATGTTGCATACGACCAGAAATGGTCGATTTCTTATTGTTAAAAACGACGAATGGGGGGTGTACACTCGAGGTACTTTGAATAGGAACAGATACGAGATAACTAGTTGAGAATAAATATTTTATATAAAATTTGCAAAAGGGGTTTAATATAGGTTTATTAATTTGAGTTATTGAGGAAGTTCATATATTTTATTGAACTTCAGTTTTAATATTTGCATTAATGAAACGATCAAATATTTCTAAGAGATTGCTCTTGAAAAGCAAAAGTTATTCAAAATTTTTTTTTTTTGGTGAAACTGTTTCTTTCCTTACAAACCAAACTATTTTGGCGACCTGCTACTTTCGTATGCAGTTGTTTTTCTTCATCATCAGCATACATATGTGCATTAAGGACCCCGCTCCCACACACATAAACATCCCCGAATCGAGTATCTGTGTGAGCTCGAGCCTGTCGTCGCCGTTTGGTGCAACTTTTTTGCGACCCCCTTTGCGCTGGTGCTTCGTTTTTGCTTTCCTGTTTCCTCTGCATACATTTTCACAACAAATCATAAAAAGTGGCAATGATGGCGGCGCCAGAAGCATTGGGGAATGCGGGGAGAGGAAGGATATCCCAACCACCCACCACACACACACAGGCACACAACACAATGCACACAGCAACAAAACACAGACGACGAGTGTCCTCGTTGCCAGGACATTCTAGCAGCCAGTTGTTTGTCGACTGGCGTCGCGTGCGGGCGGCTTTTTTTCCATCGCCGGATTTCTGCTCCTGTCACACAGGATAAACTCGAACGACCCAGCGACTCCATGAGCGAGTTACATAAATAATTCAGCTATTCTGTCCAGGTAAAATGCCTGCGATGCATTATTAATTGATTCGAACCGAAGGACAGTCAATCAATATTAACTGGAAAACTCCATTTCCTGGCGTCGCCTTCAATGGGAATCCTGCGCAGAAACGGCAAAGCCTGTTTACATGCCACATAAAAGTTCATTATCCTGCCAAACTGTGTGTGCGTGTGTGTTTGCTTGTGTGTGTGTTGGGCATACAAAAATCATTAAAAAGTTTAACACACGCCTGCCTGGCGAGCGGAGTAGAAAGAAGTCTTCAAGTGCTTCATTAGCGACTTTCTCAAGTGTGTGTGTTGAGTCCTTCGGCCCAGCTGAAAAAAAAATGGAGAAAAAACAACAACTCAGGCTCAAACTCCTCACAAGGATCTGCTATATATACATATACATATAGGTCCATTGTTTTGTGCGCTTCCGCCAGACGCCGCATTTTGTTTACTCCCCATCCCACATCGTCCAATACCAAATCCAAGTCGTTCCTCCCCGGAATCCCTCGCAAAGTCAAGGACTCGACGCGTCCCAAAGCGCGCTATGTTTTCGCAGGACTCTCTTTGTTTTCAGTTTTTTTAGCTTCTACTTTCCCAAACCCTTTTTCCATCGGTCTCACAAAATGCTTTTTCGTCTTTCCTTACAGTTCGCTGGCTGGGTGGATGCGGTAATCTTCGTCTTTAGTTTGGAGAACGAGGGCAGCTTTAATACCGTCTATAACTACTATACTAAAATGGCGCACTTTCGAAATGGCCAGGAGATACCCATGATATTGGTGGGGACGCAAGGTGAGTCAACAAACTTTATATTGCATAAAAAATTAACACTCAAAGAAAGGTTTTCAAGGTTCTTGATTTTTTTGATATTTCAAATTATATTATAATAATTCCATTCTTTTAACAGATGCCATTAGTGAGCGCAATCCTCGCGTGATTGACGACACCCGTGCCAGGAAGTTGGCCAGCGATTTGAAGCGTTGCTCCTACTACGAGACCTGTGCCACCTATGGCCTAAATGTGGAGCGTGTCTTTCAGGATGGTGAGTTTAAAAACTTGTTCAATAAAATCACAAATTTCCTAACAAAACTCCTTACCTTACCTTACAGCCTGTCAAAAGATCCTGTCGCAGCGCCTGCCTCTGCCACCTCAAGTGCAACCGGCGAGACCGACGACACCGCAGGGCAACCGCATGGGATTGGCTACCTTTCAGGCACCCACCAATGGACAACGTGGCCAGCAGCAGTTGCCACTGAGGATGAGTGCGGATTTCGCGCAGGCGGAGCAGAAACTGTGGTCCCTGCAAGCGACCAGCAGTTCCACCACCAACGAGAACAACAACATCACCAAATACAATCCCGGAGCTGCGAATTCGCTGCAGGGCGATTGCTCTCAGGTGCAACTGAGAGATCCGCGGGATCTGGCGCCACCGCCGGGAAAGGAGCTGCCCACGCCCACCTCAACGCCCACGACGAGCCGAAAGAGCCGGCGGCGTTCGAACCTGTTCAATCCCTCCTCCTCGAAGAAAGCGGACAAGGAGAAGGAGGCAAAGAGCAGCGAGCTGGGCAGTGGACGCTCCATTCCCATCAAACAGGGTTACCTGTACAAGCGATCCAGCAAATCCCTGAACAAGGAGTGGAAGAAGAAGTACGTGACGCTGTGCGACGATGGACGGCTCACCTATCATCCTTCGCTGCACGACTACATGGAGGATGTGCACGGCAAGGAGATACCGCTGCAGTACGTCACCGTTAAGGTGCCGGGACAGAAGCCTCGTGGCTCCAAGAGCATTATCACGAACAGCGCGCTGACCAGTTCCCTGATGGCCAATGGCCAGCGGGCGCAGAATGCACTAAGCGATGGTATTGGATGCCTCACACTTGCCAAGGACAATCAGCGCAAGCTGAGCGAGAAGCTATCCCTTCTGGGAGCCGGATCCGGAGTGGCTGGCGGTGGCGGGGAGCCGCTGAAGTCGAACAGCTCACAGCAGACGAGCGGGGACGAGGGCATAGCCATGTCCAATTCAAACTCACAGACTTTCACCGTCGGAGAGGCGGTCAACACGGCCAATAAGTTGGAGGCCCAGACGCCGAACGTAAAGAAGCGACATCGCCGCATGAAGAGCAGCAGTGTGAAGGCCAACGAGGCGGACGACAACGATGGCTACGAGTTCTACATCGTTTCGCTGGACTCCAAGCAGTGGCACTTCGAGGCCGCCAATTCGGAGGAGCGCGACGAGTGGGTGGCGGCCGTCGAGCAGGAGATCTTCAAGAGCCTGCAGAGCATCGAGAGCAGCAAGACCAAGCAGGCCACCAGCACGGATCTGGCCGCCATGTTGGCCATTCGGCAGCGAGTCCCCGGAAATGGGTTCTGCGTCGACTGTGGAGCGCCAAGTGAGTTTAATGGCACTCTATAAAAATCATTTATTCAGTAGAGGATGCCTTATCTAAAATGTTCTTTCGTAAAATTGAGAATTTCTTTGTATTTTACTAATGTACTTATTTATTCCTTTTTCCAGATCCTGAATGGGCCAGTTTGAACTTGGGCGTACTTATGTGCATCGAGTGCTCCGGAGTGCATCGCAATCTGGGCTCGCATATATCCAAGGTTCGCTCTTTGGGTCTGGATGACTGGCCGTAAGTTTATTGTAACTATATCCTCCTTCAAATCTTAATAAACATATTCTTTATTGCCGTATTAGATCGCCGCATCTCAGTGTGATGCTGGCCATTGGCAACAGTCTGGCCAACTCCGTTTGGGAATCGAACACAAGGCAACGGGTGAAGCCCAATTCACAGGCCAGTCGGGAGGAGAAGGAGCGATGGGTGCGCAGCAAGTACGAGGGCAAGGAGTTCCTGACGCCACTGAGCAGTGGTTCCTCAGCGCATCCCAGCCCGAGTCCGGGTCAGCAGCTAATTGAGGCTGTGATCAGGGCGGACATCAAGTCGATAGTTTCGATCTTGGCCAATTGTCCGTCGGAGGTGACCAATGCGAACGTGAGTGCCAGGGATGTGCGCACTCCACTGTTGCTGGCCTGCGCCATAGGCAATCTGGCCATCGCACAGCTACTGATATGGGTAAGTTTACTAAAAACAATTAGTAATTGGAAAGTAAATTAATATATTCCTTACTCTTTCCAGAACGGCGCCAATATCAAGCACACGGACCACGAGGGTCGCACTTGTTTGGCCTACGCTCGAGCGGCTCAATCTTTGGCCACCGCCAAATCGATCAAGGCAGCAGCGGCTGCGCAAGCGGGCACCACGATTCCGGCACCCGCCCCACCCACAAACGGTGGCATTCCTGCTCCCCAATACAATGTCGAGGATACGACGGCGCTGGTGGAGCTACTCGAAGGACTGGGTTGTCCGGAGGCAGCTCCTTTGACCGCCAGCGGCACTTTGCCCAGGAGACGCGACACGCTGGGCACGCCCTACGAGAAATCCGTGTCGGGTGTGATCTGAATTAGTTAAAATTTGTATTAAGATAAACGTGAATTTTTGGTAGCAATTGTACAATTGATTAGATTTTGTTGTTCGTAACGGAATTAGTTTAAATTCGATCGGAAAAAGTTTGTATAGCGATTAGTATTTAGGTTTTTAGGAATGTTGTGCAAATGTTTTATATATATTACTATTTTTATTTGGCAAACGTTGAATGGAAATTCACAAGTTTTATTTATGTTTTTTTTTAGTTTGTTTAGTTTCTAAGCCAACAAAAAACCTGTACAGCCTTGTTGTAATCTCAAGTGTATAATTTATTATTTTCGTATTACGTATTACTATTATTATTGTTTTTATCTTGTGCAGGTTTTTTAAATCGTTTGCAAAACAATTATTTAGTAATATTATCTTGTAACTCTCGATAACATCAGCAGATTGCAAAAAGACTTTACGTAAAACTCGAAAAAAAACAAACATACTTATACACCTTTAACAATAGACAAAAGCTGATGCAAAATATACGTATAAACGAAATGAATCTAAGATTAAAGCCAAAAACAAACTTATACTAAACAATATACACGAACATATATATATTTATATACATAAATAGTTGAAATTGCTTGATAATCGGTTAAAACAAATGAACACGCCCAAAACGTTGCTTATGCTGAACCAAACTCACAAACCAACAAAATTCTTTGCTATATAAATTCCAACAAAGAGAATTCGTTTCGTAGATTTTACTGCCGAACATTCTGTTGGTATTAAATCTGAGTAGACAAAAATTAAATTGAAAGTATTTCAAAACTATTATACAAAATAGTTATAAATCAATCTATTAATATTACTATATGTATACACCCCCCTATATTGTGTACGCTATTTGTACGAATTACAAACCACACAACGTGACAAACTCAATCTAATTGGAAGGAAAAGTAGCACACAAAAATCACAAAAAAACAACAAAAGAAAAACCCTTCAATAAAAATCTATTAAACTTTTAAATATTGGTGTTTTATATACAGTTATTAGGTCTGGGAATGTATTTTCTTCAACTTGAATTAAAACAACTTGTTTGTGGTCGGGCGCTTTATTAATCAAACAAAATCTAACAAGCTTTCAATTTTGGAAACATTTAAAATGATGTAGAATTTCGTTTACATATGTGCGGCATTTTTTCTTCATTCTTTATGGGAAATTGTATGGTGTGTCCCACAAGCGAGACTTTAGTTAAGACTGCATTTAAATGTAAGTTGTAATACATATACCATATATTTTGTTTTTGTAGAGAAGATCACGCGGATTGCCTAGTCAGAAGCGTAAAAAATTTAAATTTACTCCGTCTGCCAAACCGAGAACGAAACACAACTGCAGGAAAGATCGAGGGGCATTGGATCCGCGGTCCAAACTCGACGCAGGGAGGTCACAGTATTGAATACGGATTGGTACATCAAGCGATTTAACCGATTATATGGTCGATCTATCCTGACTATCGCCGCCATCCCGCGCTCTCCTTCCTCTCAGCTGCTTCACGAAGAACTCGTGTCCGTTAACCGCTCAGGCCTCGCCTGCTGTTATCATGAAAATTTGTTCGTTTCTTTTCATTTTTTTTTTTTTTTGTAGATTTTTTTTCCGTATCATTTTTGTTTATGTTCTGCATTTGCCATTTGTCCATTTAACACTAGCTGGGAAGTCGTCATCATTGTAGCCATCGAGTTGAAAGTGAACGATTTTGATTGGTATTTTGTTTTAGTTTTGGTCTAAACACAACAAGCAAATTCCACGCAATGCTGCTGCTGCATAGGCTGTTTCTTGGGGGGATCATGCTCCCGCTGATGGTAACATTTTCAGTTTCTTTTTTTCGGGGGAAACACGGCCACAACCGAGGCTGCAGCAGCGATTGCTGGTTTGGTTTTGCCGTCGTCCACGGCTTGTGTCGATTTGTGGTTGTACAGAGAGAACACGCTCGCACCCTTTTAGATTGCATTGCATCTGGTCTGCAGTTGCCTTTGCCGCCTTAGCGCCCGCTACCTTTGCCGCTCCACTTGGGCCCGTTCATTTTTTGTTGGCCTTGAACTTGGCGTAGAAGCTCTGGATCTGGGCATAGCGGACGGGTATCGAGTCCAGGATGCCGGTGTAGCTGAAGTTCTGCTGCTGGCGGTTCTTCTCGTGCAGATTATCGCCCGACAAGTACGTGACCACGCTCTTCTGCAGTTCGCTTACGTGCGGATCGGCATGGTTGGCCACCAGATGATTGCAGAACTGCGCAATCTGAAGAAAAACCGAAGCGTCACGATCTGTGCGGGAAAGCACACAAATAATACTATTAGTTAGCACTTTGTATTGCGATAAAAATTTAACCAACTCACCCATCTTGCGTGATATCTTTAGTAGCGAAAGCGGCTGACTTTCGTTATCGCGCTGGGCACGCAAATGCCTATTGCCCTGTTTAAACTCCTGCTCCAGCCAACGGATGACATGGCGAACATTCTCGCTGCGTTTCTTCAAGTCATCCAACTCATTGAGCACTAAGTGGAAAAAGATAATCGATTATTTTGGGGTCTTTCTCCTTGGGTGTAGGTTAAGGTGATTCGATTTATGTGGATACAATTGGAAAAGAACGAATTGCACTACTCATTTGTGAGCCATAAACTTCATTGTTTTTCAGTTCGTTTAATTGTATAAATGAATAAAGGTTCTCTAAGATGACTTTGCTGAGTTTGTGAATTTTTTTTCTTTTCGCTTCGTTGATTTTGTGTCAAACTAATCGACCCACCCTGCGATAGGCGCACTCACCTGCATTCGGGATGAGGACAATGCACTTCTTGGTCCTCACCAACGACTTGACAATGCCATTGTATTCGGTCAATGCCTTTGAATCGACGACTACAAATGGGGACATAACCACATGCGGGGGACTATCCCGCAGCTCCTCTTCCAGGGTTTCGACCTCGTTCTGTAGCCACAGTTTGCCCATCAGCTCGCACTTCTTCGACTTGGCCTCCGAGCGCTCCTCATCGGCCCCCGAACTGGATTGCACATTCAGTTTCTCGATGACGCTGTTTGTGGTTGTGGAGGCGGACGTGCCGCCGGCCACAGAGGTTCCGGTGGCACTAGCTATGACCGCGGCAGCCTTCTCGGCATTACGATTCCTTAGGTAACCCTTGCGTGGCACCTTCCGGCACTCCTCCACGGTGTCCTTCTCCTCGTTGCTGGTGTAGCTCTTGCGGACGATGCCGTTCTTGCGGTCCGAGTAGCGACGGGTGCGTCCTTCATTCCTCTTTGTTCGGTTCGTTTTCGGAGCGGTACGGCGCTCACGACGGCGATTTCCACCTCCCTTCTTCTCTTCGCGCTGTTTCTTCTTCTGGGTCTCGGTGAAACGGCGTGTTTTCACGCAGAACCTGTAGTTGAACTTCTTTTGCTTGCAAATAAAAAAACCAAAGTCGACCATTTTGAAAATACGGAGTATAGACTCCTCCTGGGGAGTAACGCGCTCCCGGATAATGGTCTCCCAGTCCAGGGTGATCTGAGTGCTCTGGAAAATGTCGAAATTCTTGAAGGCAAAGTCCTCGGTAAGTGGAACATTGGCCCGCACATCAAAGAGTTCGACCAGGGAATCGCGGACATTGGCGGTGGTCAGGAGCTCACGCTCAAAGTAAACCTTCCTGGTGAAGACGTCGATGTTGCAATAGTTGAGCAGCTTCATTATCTTGTGCACAAACTCCGGATTGGAGTGATAGCAGCCAATGAGGATCTCTGGATTGATACGCAGCCAGTCAAAGAGCATTTTCAGGGCTCTGATGGTCGGCTCATTGTGGAGACAATCAATTATTATATTGGGATTGATTTTGGTGTATTTGTTGCGGTACACCAGCTTTTTGGGTGGCTCTGAAAAGCTGACCGGTGGCGGGGCAGGTTGGGCACCCTCCACCGGATTAGTTTTGGCCTCCTCGGCGCTCTTAAAGTTCAGCTGCAGCACCTCAAAGCTACGCAGCAGTTCCTCAGAGTCAACCTCCTGTGAGTTGGATCTGCGCTCCACTTCCTCGGGATACACGAGTTTCTCCTCTTCAATAACCACATCTTCATTGTCTGAGTAGACCAAGCCGCCTCCTCCACAGCCGCCAGATTTGCGATCTTTCTTGTTGTAAGAAGCTGATGAAAGAAATATATTTCAATGTTAGTTAACATATATAAAGAAAAAATTCATTTAATGACTAACCTGCTTCATAGTGCTCTTCACCGCAAGGCTCGCCAGGATCAGCGGCATCGATGTCACTGAAATCGGTGTCGAAATTAGAGCTCAGATCGGTGTAGTCCTCCTCATCGCTGTAGAAGTCGGTGTCCAGTTCACTCTCGCTGTCGTAGCAGGAACTGTCGTCCGACTGGGCAATCTTGCGACGACGGCGACGCAGACGCATTCCACGTCGCTTGCTTTTGCAGGAGAGCGGGGTCTTAAGATCCGACTCCTTGGCTTCGTCGCTGGAGCGCGTAGAAACGGCCTCACCGATTTTATCGCCATCTGGTGCCTCCTGGGTCTTCGCTTCCTCGCCAGAGTGCTGACTATCGCGCGAGTCGGAGCTGAATTCCTTTAGAGAATGAGGTCTTGGCATCATCTTCTTGTCCTTGCGTTCACACTCGCCTACGGCTGCCAGCCAATTCTTATACTCATTCCGGGATTTGCGAACAACGGTGTCAAACTCCTGGAAACGCTGCTCATACTCCGCCTGGAAGCGTTCGTTGTCCTGAGCGCGGGCCAAGATCGTCTGCTCGATGCTGACGATGCAGGCGTCCATAAGATCCGAGCAGGCCGCCACCAAAAAGGCATGCAGCGAGTAGACTTTCGGTGAGTTTATCATCTTTAACTTCGATAGGCAGAAGAACAGGATGGACACAATCTTGAAGATGCTGGGTTCCGGAACGCGCAGCTGCTGAGAGCAGAGGATCTTGCGCAGATCAATGAGGACGCAGTGGCACAGAGCATTAAAATCCGGCACCTCCTTGTCGAAGAAGAAAATATCCACAATGAGATAGAACCTGGCGAAGAAGTCCTCAATGCTAAAGTCTAGCTTCTCGGGATCCATTTGCTCCAGGTATTCAGTGTGCTTCCCGAAGAGCTTATTCAAGTTATTTTCGCTCAGTTCGAAGGGTATGATGCACACGAGGGAGTACAGATAGTGGTAAGTAGAATCCAAATCGTGGTTCTGGCCGTAGTATAGAGTGCCCAACTGATTTTGGGCCATTCCAATGGCCGGATTCAGCTTAAAGGCCTCCAAATAGTATTTGGCCACCTGTTCCTTGCTGATGCTCAGCTTGCTATCGATGCGAAAGTCGAGAAAGTAGCGATGCAGATCGCCCAGGCTGAGGAGCGAGGAGTGTATGGTGTCTAAAGCAAAGGACACCGCCTCCAGACTCTTGTCGACCGCGTGAGTTCCCGAATGCGACACCTCCATGGAGTCGCCGATCATGTCGCTTATGTAGCCATCGCTGATGATGGAAAAATCAATTAAATACTTGAGATCCAGGTCGTAAATTTCTTCCATGCGGGCCGACAATCGCTTGTAGTTGAATATTCCGGCGCAGAGAAATCGCTCTAGCTTCTGCATGTTCTCCTGGGCGGTGGCCGCATCCTGGCCCTGTTTGTGCCAGCTCTTCTTGACGAAGGCGATAAACTCGTAGTAGCCACGACGCCACATCACTTCGCGCACTTTCTTGCCCACCGATTGGTAGTCCTTGAAGATGATTTGCTTGCATAGTTGAACCAGTAGTGAGCGCTTCTCCTCGATTTCGTGCTGGAATAGCTGTCCCACGGTCTGGACGTTCTTCTTGGCATCATCCAGTTGCTTGGAGGCGGTGTAGAGGGACCTATTTGGATTTTACGCATGTGATAAGGTAATCTATGGAGTGGGTTGTAAACGATGCAGAGGTGACAGGGAGGAATCATTGCATGTTAAGCCCTGATTCCTTGCAAGTACAGCTACCGCTGCGCCGTTTACAAAATTATTTTCTTACCTGTAGAGATCCTTTACCTCCTGGCTGAGGGTACAGGTGCCATTATTCGGCTCCAAGCCTCGACAGCGATTCGTTCCGCCATCCATGGCGCACTCGCTGGAGGCATTCGATCCTCCAGAGCTGAGTGTCGCCTCCATTTCAAGAGGTTCTGCGATGAAAATGAACGTAAAACACACGGTTTACAAAAATGATAAGTATCCACGAAGCAGCTGCTTTTTGCACAGCTGGCAACTCTGCTCGGTTGGGGAAAAAGTAAACACCCACTAGACGATGCCCGGATTCCTCCAGCTGTTTCTCGAATTCTCAAAATTTTTTGCTGACGAATTGTTTTTCCAAATAAATTGTTACTTTATTGTACGTCTATGTTTTTGTTTTTGTTTCAACTGGTGACGCACACAAACACATGTGTGCCTTGTTTTTCGAGAGTGTATTATGGCGTAGTTTCGTTTTATTGAATAATCAATTAAACACACACACGCACTTCGCTTTTGCTTTTACTTCTGCTCGATGCTCTGGTATCTTCGATACTGCAACGGCAGTTGCGAAATAACTATGCACTTCTTTTACCCGCTTCCCTCAGGTAGAATCCAACGGCGGGGGATTAGTGTTTACCTGGGCGATTTGCATTACCTTTTATTCGATTCTGTTGCTGTTGTGTTGTGTGTAGTTCTGCAAATTTCACGTTTTTGCTCCTCCTTTGTTGAACAACAAAATGGCGCTTGCACGGTCAGACTGCGCGGGAGAAAAATAACGCGCACGATGTATGGTGGAATTGATTAGTTTAATAATATTTATATCTGGAGATATATTTCCATTATGTCGATTTGCAAACCGATTTTAAAAGCAAGAGCATTTGAAACCGAGCCGTTTTGTTATAATGTTTTGATCGCATGATCATGAGCTATTCAGTGTTGGTAAGTATCGATAGCTATCGAATGCGACATATCGATTATTTAACAATCGCCGCCGTTTTTAAAATGCATAAGCAAAGCTAAAGGTAAGGTATAATTTTCTTTGGCTATAAACCGCAAAATGCTTAATAAAACATATTTGCCAAAAACTAGAGCCAAGTAAAATAACTAAAGCTCATTTGTTTTGATTGTTTGAGGCCGGGTATTTTTTTCAGTTTTTAAGAGAAGGGAATTTTCGCTAAATATATAAGTAAATAAATAAAACCAACTAACTAAAAGAATGAAAGAATGAAAAGAGCATTGGCCACCGTTTTATAATGGTTTTTTCTGTAACCCAAAGGAAGATTTTTACACATTAGTTTATTTTTATATTAAAAATTATCACCCTTTTGTGTCAACTCAGTTTTTTTTAGCGCCTTCAATATTTGCCAATGAAGCCAAATGTGAAGAAATGTGTCAAGCATATTAATGATCTTCCAGATGTCGGCTTATCTTTCCTTCTACCTGGCCGAGAACCTCCAATACGTCTGGAAACCTCAGCTGCGGCTAAGCCGAGCTCGCATTAAAAATAAATAATGCTCGCGTTTATCGGACATTTCTCTCGGCAACGTCGTTTGGTCACTTGATTAGCTTTGGGCACGTCAAGGGACAGATAGTCCCGTGTCACACAACAAAAAATTTATGGTAAATTTTCAGTTTTAAAATAAATCTTTTCACACTTTCAATACAAAATTACACTACATTATTCTTTAATTTTGTGAATTTCATTTTGGCTAACGATTATTAGATAAATCGTTTACAATTTTATAAGTCAGCTTGAAATGCTATTACCGCTTTGGAAACTAAAAATTTTACTTGGTTCAAATTATTTTTATTTTTATTTTCTTTTAAAATGTAAGATATATTTCCCGTAGGAAATTTTGTTACTTAATTTTTATTTTGTTTATATGTTTTCTATTCGGATAAGAATTCTGCTGATCATAAACATGCAACATTCAATACCTACTTTGTTAATGAAATAATCCTCTTATTACATTACTACATTAGTATCAGCAGAATTCATAATTGGGTAATTTATTAGAATTTAAAATTTTATTTGATATTATGAAATATTTGTTTCAAGTGGAATTTGCCGGCTGAGTCTTCGGTTGCTTCGCTGCTCTTGGCTATAAAACTCACGCAATCTTACCCAAGCGTTCTCAGTTTTAGTTCAGACCGCTTGCGGACCGGTCACGTTCGATCCGTTGGGAAATAACGACGGAGACACATCGCAGATACTCGCAACGTAAGTTTCTCTTTCGAATTTGAAAAGCTTGATACAAGTCGTTCCCCCGATCGCAATTAGCGCATTTTAATTTAACCTTAAGTAGCCTTTAATTTGAATCGTAATTGAAGCTTGCAATTTATTTGCACGATGTGATATAATTACTTTGTGAACTGTTCCGCAAAATATTAAAGGTCCCGTTCCACCAGTCACTATAATCCCTTGATAATCTTATCTGGATCATGCAATGCTTGGATCCTTAATATTTGCCGCCGTCATTTCGGTGGACATGGTCATAAATTCTTCAATATCTCACACACTTTTACGGTGGTTAGTCGACCTAATCGGTTATATTTATGATCTTGATACGCATCTGTGTATAGTTTGTTTAGGCCTTTCTCTGATGTTTGATAAGGTTGCCTTTAAGATTATACCTGTAAAAAGAAAAAAATAGATTGAACTGTATTAAAGTAGTACCCATGACTTTAAAAAACCTTTATCGATAAGCTAGTTCACTTTTTAATTGGTATGATTACGAGTAGAAATCAAAGGGAATATCTTATCATCTATTGGCAGACTTGTTCAACACAAGTACTTTCTTGCGATCCATAACGAATCTACACGCTTACTTGAGGTATATAGTATATATCGTGCCGATCTGACCCCAGAGTCATCCGAAAATGAGACATATTAATCAATTGCGCAGGAGACTTCGCTGCGACAAACTGATAAATCAGATACGTCATCGAATTGGCGTAACAAACTGTCGTAGAATTGGAACGATTCTAATCAAAATTCAAAATGCTTTCTATAATTCCCAGGCGAGAAAGTTGATCACAAAATGAGACTGTTACTGGTAGCCCTGCTGGCTACTTTTGCGGTGAGTTAAAAAATTGATCTAATGGATCTTAGAATCCACTGTAACGCCTTATGGTTTTTTTTTTAGCTGTCGCAAGCTTTGGTTAAGGAGGAGATTCAGGCCAAGGAGTACTTGGAGAATCTGAACAAGGAGCTGGCCAAGAGGACCAATGTCGAAATCGAGGCTGGCTGGGCTTATGGCTCAAACATCACCGATGAGAACGAGAAGAAAAAGAACGAGATCTCCGCGGAGTTGGCCAAGTTCATGAAGGAGGTGGCCAGTGACACCGCAAAGTTCCAGTGGCGCAGCTTCCAGTCGGAGGATATCAAGCGTCAGTTCAAATTTCTGACCAAACTGGGATATGCCGCTCTCCCAGAAGCCGATTACGCGGAGTTTCTGGAGACAGTCTCTGCCATGGAATCGAATTTCGCCAAGGTGAAGGTCTGCGACTACAAGGATAGCACCAAGTGCGATTTGGCCCTAGAACCGGAGATCGAGGAGGTCATCAGCAAGAGTCGCGACCATGAGGAGCTCGCCTACTACTGGCGCGAATTCTACGACAAGGCCGGAACCGCCGTGCGATCCCAATTCGAGCGGTACGTGGAGCTCAACACCAAGGCGGCCAAACTGAATAGTAAGTGGATATATATCTGTTTTTCTTGCCAATATATAACAGCGATTGCGGTTACGAAGTTTATGTATTGCTTGTTTTAAATCAAGAAGATAAAATGCTTGAAAACTACAAAGTTGCATTTGCTTACAGAAAATAATTGCCTTAGAAATAATGAATGCAAATAGTTGTAGCATTTACTTTCTCAAAGGTTTTTTATACCCTTGTTTTAAATTACAGTTATTTCCTGTAATATTTTACTCACAACAGATATAATTACAGTGCAGTATTTTATCTTTTAATAACATAATAAATAAAACAATAAAAAAACAAAATGTTAAAATTAATAAGACTTAATGGCAGTGCAATTTTTTACAAAACGTTACGATAATGAACCTTTTTAATGTATTGCGCCTTACAAACGCCTATTAACAAATTATATTTACTTTTCCTTTTCAGATTTCACCTCTGGCGCCGAAGCTTGGCTGGATGAGTACGAGGATGCGACCTTCGAGCAGCAATTGGAGGACATTTTCGCCGAGATCCGTCCTCTTTATCAGCAGATCCACGGCTATGTGCGATACCGTCTTCGCAAGTATTATGGAGATTCCGTGGTTTCCGAAACTGGACCCATTCCCATGCACCTTTTGGGTAACATGTGGGCCCAGCAGTGGTCCGAGATTGCTGACATTGTATCCCCCTTCCCCGAAAAGCCGGTGGTTGATGTGAGCGAAGAGATGGAGAAGCAGGGTATTACTGCTCTGAAAATGTTCCAAATGGGAGATGACTTCTTCACCTCCATGAACCTCACTAAGCTGCCACAGTAAGTTTATATTAAAATCTTTACTTAATATCTTTAATAACTAAGTAAACCTTTTTAGGGAGTTCTGGGACAAGTCGATTATTGAGAAGCCCACTGATGGTCGGGATCTGGTTTGCCATGCGAGTGCCTGGGACTTTTATCTGACTGACGATGTGCGCATCAAGCAGTGCACTCGGGTTACCCAGGATCAGCTCTTCACCGTCCACCATGAACTGGGTCACATTCAGTATTTCCTTCAGTATCAGCACCTGCCGTTCGTCTATCGCGCTGGTGCCAATCCCGGTTTCCATGAGGCCGTCGGCGATGTCCTTTCCCTCTCCGTTTCCACTCCCAAGCATCTGCAGAAGATCGGTCTGCTGAAGGATTATGTTCAGGATGACGAGGCCCGCATTAACCAGCTGTTCTTGACCGCTCTGGATAAGATTGTGTTCCTGCCTTTTGCCTTCACCATGGACAAGTACCGCTGGGCTCTGTTCCGCGGTGAAGTGGAGAAGGCCAACTGGAACTGCGCCTTCTGGAAGCTGAGGGAGGAGTACTCCGGAATCGAGCCACCAGTTGTGCGAAGCGAAAAGGACTTTGATGCCCCGGCTAAATATCACATTTCCGCGGATGTGGAGTACCTGAGGTAAGTAACCATTAACTTGAGTTTATTTAGTTACATTTTATAAATGCTTATTTTTTTTATTTTTCAGATACCTGGTCTCCTTCATCATCCAGTTCCAGTTCTACAAGTCCGCTTGCATTAAGGCTGGTCAGTATGATGCCAACAATGCTGAGTTGCCTCTGGATAATTGTGATATCTATGGCAGTGCTGCCGCTGGTGCTGCTTTCCAGTAAGTTTAAAATATAAATAAATATTAGTAGCATGTATATCTTAATACTTTTCCTAATACTTTTAGCAATATGCTATCCTTGGGCGCCTCGAAGCCCTGGCCCGATGCACTGGAAGCCTTCAATGGAGAACGCACCATGACCGGAAAAGCCATTGCCGAATACTTTGAGCCACTGCGCGTTTGGTTAGAGGCCGAGAACATCAAGAACAATGTCCACATTGGCTGGACTGCTTCAGATAGTAAGTTTTGCCTTTAAAATGATCTTGAAGATATGTATTAATTCCAATTATACTTATTTCAGAATGTGTGTCTTCTTGAATGAAAAGATCCAGGTGTTCTTACACAGTTCTTTGATCAATAAAGTTTCACAATGCCTTACTGGTTTTAAAATACATGTGGAAATTTTTTAATTAAAGATACAGTTTTGGGAGGATTTATATCTTAAAGTAATTAGGAAAAAGAGCTGCTTAAATCCCTTTAGAAAACCAGGAAAAAATATTTTTATAGTCTTTCCGTAAAAGTAATTTATAGTAATGTTATAAAACAAGTTAGTAACTTAAAGTTTCTTAAGAGGATTTTAAGAAACATAAAGTACTCCCATAAATTACGACTGCCGGCTATAATTGTTTGTTAAACAAGTTATAGAGAGACACCGTGTCTGTATTACTGAGTTAACTCGAAGTTGTGCTTGCTAAGTGGAACACATATAATTACAAATGGCCAACTGGGCGCCCAGTAAAACCACCAATTTGCTTCACTGACCGCAGATTGTCGTCGACTCAAGTCAGTTGACTTCGAGAGCTGCGCAAGCGCAGAACGTTTGATGAAAGGCTAAGGAAAAGAAGTGCCGGGAATTTCAATGAGATAATAAAGTTGCGAAAGTGAATTTGGTAGAAAGTGTGGGAATATGAGGATTTTCTTGGTTATTTTGGTGAGTTAAATTGGTTGGTTTGATATGTAAACCTATCTTACTTTAAATCCTTTAGCTTCTGTTGGGATTTACCCAGGCGGAGTCCCCACCCGATCCCTCATTGGAAACATTTTTGAATGAAACCAATCAACAACTCGCTGTTATTTATGATCAGGCTGTTTTGGCCCAGTTGTTGAATGAGTTACGCGGACCCAATGATTTGGTTGCACTTTTGGAGGTCGAGGTCACCGATGAGAAGCTCATGAAATATGTGGAAACCCTATCGATCCGTAAAGCCAAGTTCAAGCGATTGGGATTGGGAGACTCCCGCCAGCGGAGGCTGCTCTCCAAGTTTCCCCAACTTGGCTATGAAGCTCTGGGCGACAAAGATTTGGAGCGAGTCTACGCACTGGCCTCCAATATGAGCGATAATTACCATAATGTCAAGCTGTGTGCCTACAAACAACCCGAGAATTGCACTTTGCGACTCATACCAGAGGTTCAATCGATAGTTCAAGAAAGCCGAGATTTGGAGGAGAAAATTTGATTTGATATTATTAAATTTTTGTTTAAAGTGGAATTTGCAGGCTGAGCCTTCGGTTGCTTCGCTGCTCTTGGCTATAAAACTCAGGCAATCTTGCCCAAGCGTTCTCAGTTTTAGTTCAGACCGCTTGCGGACCGGTCACGTTCGATCCGTTGGGAAATAACGACAGAGACACATCGCAGATACTCGCAACGTAAGTTTCTCTTTCGGATTTGAAAAGCTTGATACAAGTCGTTCCCCCGATCGCAATTAGCGAATTTTCATTTAACCTTAAGTAGCCTTTAATTTGAATCGTAATTGAAGCTTGCAATTTATTCTGCCTTAAGATTTTCCGCCGTCATTTCCGACCTAATCGGTGATACTTTGTGATCTTGATACGCAAAATCTGTGCATAGTTTGTTTCAGGCCTGTCACTATAATGTCTTGATCATCTTATCTGGACTCATGCAACTGCTTGCGATCCTTAATATTTACCGCTCATTTCGGTGGACATGGTCATAAATTCTTCAATATCTCAACACTTTTACGGTGGTATAGTCAACCATAAACAGGTTAAATTTATTTGATCGTTTGATAGCATCTGTGTATGTTTGTTTAGGCCTCTTCTCCGATGTTTGAAATAAGGTTGCCTTATCGATTAAATACCTGTAAAATATTTGAAAAAAATAGATTGAACTGTATATAAAGTAGTACCCATGACTTTAAAAAACCTTTATCGATAAGCTAGTTCACTTTTTATTGGTCACTGATTACGATGTAGAAATCAAAGGAATATCTTATCAATCTAATTGGCAGACTTGTTCAACATAAGTACTTTCTTGCGATCCATAACGAATCTACACGCTTACTTGAGGTATATAGTATATATCGTGCCGATCTGACCCCAGAGTCATCCGAAAATGAGACATATTAATCAATTGCGCAAGAGACATCGGCAAAAATGCGACAAACTGATAAATCAGATACGCATCGAATTGGCGTCAAACTGTCGTAAAATTATGCCAAAAAGAACGATTCTAATAAAAATTCAAAATGCTTTCTATAATTCCCAGGCGAGAAAGTTGATCAAAAAATGAGACTGTTACTGGTAGCCCTGCTGGCTACTTTGGCGGTGAGTTAAAAAATTGATCTAATGGATCTAAGAATCCACTGTAACGCCTTATGGTTTTTTTTTAGCTGTCGCAAGCTTTGGTTAAGGAGGAGATTCAGGCCAAGGAGTACCTGGAGAATCTGAACAAGGAGCTGGCCAAGAGGACCAATGTCGCAATCGAGGCTAGCTGGGCTTATGTCTCAAACATAACCGATGAGAACGAGAAGAAAATGAACGAGATCTCCGCGGAGTTGGCCAAGTTCATGAAGGAGGTGGCCAGTGACACCGCAAAGTTCCAGTGGCGCAGCTTCCAGTCGGAGGATATCAAGCGTCAGTTCAAATTTCTGACCAAACTGGGATATGCCGCTCTCCCAGAAGCCGATTACGCGGAGTTTCTGGAGACAGTCTCTGCCATGGAATCGAATTTCGCTAAGGTGAAGGTCTGCGACTACAAGGATAGCACCAAGTGCGATTTGGCCCTAGAACCGGAGATCGAGGAGGTCATCAGCAAGAGTCGCGACCATGAGGAGCTCGCCTACTACTGGCGCGAATTCTACGACAAGGCCGGAACCGCCGTGCGATCCCAATTCGAGCGGTACGTGGAGCTCAACACCAAGGCGGCCAAACTGAATAGTAAGTGGATATATATCTGTTTTTCTTGCCAATATATAATAACGATTGCGGTTACGAAGTTTATGTGTTGTTTGTTTAAAATCAAGAAGATAACCTAACTAAAAATGCTAGAAAACTACAAAGTTGCATTTGCTTACAGAAAATAATTGCCTTAGAAATAATGAATGCAAATAGTTGTAGCATTTGCTTTTTCAAAGGTTTTTTATACCCTTGTTTTAAATTACAGTTATTTCCTGTAATATTTTACTCACAACAGATATAATTACAGTGCAGTATTTTATCTTTTAATAACATAATAAATAAAACAATAAAAAAACAAAATGTTAAAATGAATAAGACTTAATGGCAGTGCAATTGTTTACAAAGGTTACGAAAGAATCTTATTCAATTTATTGCACTTTTACAAACGTTTATTAACAAATTGTATTTATTTTTCCTTTTCAGACTTTCACCTCTGGCGCCGAAGCTTGGCTGGATGAGTACGAGGATGCGACCTTCGAGCAGCAGTTGGAGGACATTTTCGCCGAGATCCGTCCTCTTTATCAGCAGATCCACGGCTATGTGCGATACCGTCTTCGCAAGTATTATGGAGATTCCGTGGTTTCCGAAACTGGACCCATTCCCATGCACCTTTTGGGTAACATGTGGGCCGAGCAGTGGTCCGAGATCGCTGACATTGTATCCCCCTTCCCCGAAAAGCCGGTGGTTGATGTGAGCGAAGAGATGGAGAAGCAGGGTATTACTGCTCTGAAAATGTTCCAAATGGGAGATGACTTCTTCACCTCCATGAACCTCACTAAGCTGCCACAGTAAGTTTATATTAAAATCTTTACTTACTACTTATAATAACTAAATAAACCTCTTTAGGGACTTCTGGGACAAGTCGATTATTGAGAAGCCCACTGATGGTCGAGATCTGGTTTGCCATGCGAGTGCCTGGGACTTTTATCTGACTGACGATGTGCGCATCAAGCAGTGCACTCGGGTTACCCAGGATCAGCTCTTCACCGTCCACCATGAACTGGGTCACATTCAGTATTTCCTTCAGTATCAGCACCTGCCGTTCGTCTATCGCGCTGGTGCCAATCCCGGTTTCCATGAGGCCGTCGGCGATGTCCTTTCCCTCTCCGTTTCCACTCCCAAGCATCTGCAGAAGATCGGTCTGCTGAAGGATTATGTTCAGGATGACGAGGCCCGCATTAACCAGCTGTTCTTGACCGCTCTGGATAAGATTGTGTTCCTGCCTTTTGCCTTCACCATGGACAAGTACCGCTGGGCTCTGTTCCGCGGTGAGGTTGAGAAGGCCAACTGGAACTGCGCCTTCTGGAAGCTGAGGGAGGAGTACTCCGGAATCGAGCCACCAGTCGTGCGAAGCGAGAAGGACTTTGATGCCCCGGCTAAATATCACATTTCCGCGGATGTGGAGTATCTGAGGCAAGTAACCATTAACTTGAGTTTATTTAGTTACATTTTATAAATGTTTATTTATTTTATTTTTCAGATACCTGGTCTCCTTCATCATCCAGTTCCAGTTCTACAAGTCCGCTTGCATTAAGGCTGGTCAGTATGATGCCAACAACGCTGAGTTGCCTCTGGATAATTGTGATATCTATGGCAGTGCTGCCGCTGGTGCTGCTTTCCAGTAAGTTTAAAATATATATATATATATTAGTAGCATATATATACCATAATACTTTTAGCAATATGCTGTCCTTGGGCGCCTCGAAGCCCTGGCCCGATGCACTGGAAGCCTTCAATGGCGAACGCACCATGACCGGAAAAGCCATTGCCGAATACTTTGAGCCACTGCGCGTTTGGTTAGAGGCCGAGAACATCAAGAACAATGTCCACATTGGCTGGACTGCTTCAGATAGTAAGTTTTGCCTTTAAAATGATCTTGAAGATATGTATTAATTTCAATTAAACTTATTTCAGAATGTGTGTCTTCTTGAATGAAAAGACCCGGGTGTTCTTACACAGTTCTTTGATCAATAAAGTTTCACAATGCCTTACTGGTTTTAAAATACATGTGGAATTTTTTAATTAAAGATACAGTTTTGGGAGGATTTATATCTTAAAGTAATTAGGAAAAAGAGCTGCTTAAATCCCTTTAGAAAACCAGGAAAAAATATTTTTATAGTCTTTCCGTAAAAGTAATTTATAGTAATGTTATAAAACAAGTTAGCAACTTAAAGTTTCTTAAGAGGATTTTAAGAAACATAAAGTACTCCCATAAATTACGACTGCCGGCTATAATTGTTTGTTAAACAAGTTATAGAGAGACACGGTGTCTGTATTACTGAGTTAACTCGAAGTTGTGCTTGCTAAGTGGAACACATATAATTACAAATGGCCAACTGGGTGCCCAGTAAACCACCAATTTGCTTCACTGACCGCAGATTGTCGTCGACTCAAGTCAGTTGACTTCGAGAGCTGCGCAAGCGCAGAACGTTTGATGAAAGGCTAAGGAAAAGAAGTGCCGGGAATTTCAATGAGATAATAAAGTTGCGAAAGTGAATTTGGTAGAAAGTGTGGGAATATGTGGATTTTCTTGGTTATTTTGGTGAGTTAAATTGGTTGGTTTTATGTCTAAAACTACCTTACCTTAATTCCTTTAGCTCCTGTTTGGGATTTAGTCATGCTGAATCCCCACCTGATCCCTCATTGGATACATTTTTAAACGAAACCAATCAACAACTCGCTGTTATTTATGATCAAGCTGTTTTGGCCCAGTTGTTGAATGAGTTGCGCGGACCCAATGATTTGGTTGCACTTTTGGAGGTCGAGGTCACCGATGAAAAGCTCATGAAATATGTGGAGACCCTATCGATCCATAAAGCCAAGTTCAAGAGATTAGGATTAGGAGACTCCCACCAAAAGAGGTTACTCTCCAAGTTTCCCCAACTTGGCTATAAAGCTCTGGGCGACAAAGATTTGGAGCGAGTCTACGCAATGGCCTCCAATATGAGCGATAATTATCATAATGTCAAGCTGTGTGCCTACAAACAACCCGAGAATTGCACTTTGCGACTCATACCAGAGGTTCAATCGATAGTTCAAGGAAGCCGAGATTTGGAGGAGATCGAATATTACTGGTTTGAGTGGCGAAAGCGCACGGGCTTGGCCACCAGATCTCAGTTCGTTGCCTTCATGGATCTATACAAAAAGACCGCCAAGCTGAATGGATATGATCGGCCCGAGGATTACTGGTTTCGATCTCTGGAACTGAATGGTCAGGAGACAATGGCCTTGTTGGATAAAGTAATGCATGGCTTGAGACCACTGTTCCTTCAATTTCACGCTCATGTCAGAGGATCTTTGAGGAAAATGCATGGCGAGCATTTGGTGCCCAGAAACAAACCATATCCCCAGCATTTGGCAGAGGTCTTTATTGGCAATGCCTTTAGACGGGTTCAGGCCGAATGGTATGTGGATTTGCCCTCACCGGAGGTGGGTTAGCCAACATTACCCAGGAGCTACATAACCGGGGATTGAGTACCACTCAAAGGGTTTTCTGGAATGTGGCTGAGTATTTCAGAGCACTGGGTCTTCCGCAGTTAGAAAGGTAAGTACAACGATAATAAGTCTATATTTCCAATATTCATAAACTTGCAGAGGGAACTAATTATAAAGCCCTTGAGAGCCCATAACTTTTCCTAATGATGTACGATTTTGAATTGGTATACCCCAAAATTTTTAGACAAAGACCTTTTAGAAGCTGCATTATTAGTTTGGTTTCGATTTTTGGTTCGATTTTTTTACATTTTTATGACGTGATTATTAATAATTATTATTAACTATTTAACAAATACCAACCTATTGCAGCTCCCTCTGGACATATGCACAAAAGGTATCCTCCGAAGACGAAGATCGTTGTTGGCACAAAGCCTGGCGGTATTATGCTCTACCCAGAACCAATTTTACCTATTGTCCTTTGAACGACGAGGAACGCTTCTTTAATATGTTTGAAGCTCAGGCAGACTTACATTTTTATCGTGCTGCCTCGATTCAGCCAACTCTACTTCAAGAAGAGCCCTTTCCCAATTTCAGTGATGCAATTGGGAAATGTTTCTCGATGTCAGCAAGTTCACCACGTTTTCTGAGGAAATTGGGACTACTAAAGGATAGCAAATGGAAGGAGTTACCCGCTCGCTTGAATCGTCTTTATGTTCAGGGACTTCGGATTGTGTTCCTCCTCCCAGTTTTCTATGTACTGGATCGTTATAGAGTCGAAGTTCTGAGTGGACATATTAAGGCAGATGATAATGAGGCATATTGGCGATTTACAGAGCATTATACCGGTGCTGCAGCTCCAACAAAACGGACCAACGAACAATTCGATGTTCCCGCCAAACTTCTCATGGAAGTAGATGACCAATATGCAAGGTAAGTAAATTAACGAACAAATTGTATTATTTTTAACTAAACTTTTACCTATTTTAGTCACTTTCTAAGCATTGTTCTGCAGTTCCGATTGTTAAAACACTTTTGTACTAAAACAGGACAGTTTGACATTTATAATCCCAGCAAACCTTTGGATTTGTGCGATTTATCCGATCAACGAGGCATCGGCAAAGTTCTCCAAAAAGCCATGTCCCTGGGATCTTCAGTTCCCTATAGAGAAGTACTGCAGGAACTTGTGGGTGAATCTGAAATCAATATAGATGGCTTACTGACCTACTTTCAACCATTGCAAGAATGGTTGCAACACCAAAATCAAGTGAATAACCTAGAAGTGGGTTGGACATAGATTGCATACTATTTGTATTGATTAAATGATAAAAGATAGTTTATTTATTGGTATATATTTATTTAAAGAAAAATTGTATATATGCTTCTACTGGGTGCATTCTTCTATCGAAATAACTTTTAAATGTTTTTTATCGACCTAAAAGTATGCGATAGAAACCGAAAAATAATCAAATTATACATACTTGTAAAAAACATGTAAAAATCGTTATTTACCTAAAAGTGTAAACATTTCATGGAGATAAATGTTAAGTAAAAAGTCTCGAAAAATCCTTTCTTTTTGTTTGAAGTCAAAAATATGTTTTGTAACGTTATTTCAAGCTTGAAAAAATTTGACCAAATTTCCGAAATCATATGGGTGATCGTGGCGATGGCGGCCCAGGGTGTATACTCCTGCGAATTCGAGGTGTTTGGTAAAGTGCAGGGTGTCAACTTTCGGCGGCACGCAATGCGGAAGGCCAAAACCCTGGGACTCCGCGGATGGTGCATGAACTCGCGCAGAGGAACAGTGAAGGGCTACATCGAAGGTCGTCCCGCCGAAATGAACGTGATGAAAGAGTGGCTCAGCACCACGGGAAGTCCCCTCAGCAACATCGAGAAAGTCGAGTTCAGTTCTATGAGGGAACGCACTCGATATGACTATGCCAACTTTCACATCAAGCCCGATTTGTCCGAAGAGGTAACAAACCAAATTGGCAGTAGTTCGAGCCACAATGAGAGTCATTAGAGGATTTTTGGCGGAAAAATAAAATTAAAGGTCATTCAATTTTCCACAATTTTATTAAGGTTTCCCAAAACTATGTTTTTTAATAACATGAAAATATTTTAACCTAAACCGATTTTGGGAAATATTGAACAAAATGTATTAAGTATTTATAAAATATTTTTTTAATAAATAATGTAAAATTCATCAAAATCAGTGTAAATCATTTAGGAAATGAATTCGCAATCTTGTCAGACGGAACTGGGATGCTAAGAGTCACACTTCGATGAGTTCTCATTCCTAAACCAATCAGTCAACGCCTTCTTAATGATTATTAACTTGTGCATTGTTTGCTTTAAATAACCGGAAATAATCTAATCCAAATGCAAAACATAAGCGGGCCCTGTAATTAAAATGCACTTGATTTTAATGACTCCCAGAGGCTCCTCACTCAATAGCTACTTATTAAAACCATGCAAATGGCTATAGTTGGAAAAATATAAATAAAAAGTATCTACGTGCTTAATGTGCGTCATGCTAAATGGTTAGCGATTCGTTGGGCGTATATGATAGACTTACACAAACTATTCACTCGTGTAAATTCATTAGTTGCAGGCGGTTAGCCATATTTTCCCACGGTTCTTGGCACTCCAGAACTTATATAATATATAGTAAAGATCTGGTATAGCCCAGTGCTAATTGAATCCGACTTGACCTTGACTGGTAATTAGATTTTTGACCGAAATATGATTGGTGTGTTTGGAGGGACCATTTCCAGGTACAAAATCACGGGGCAGCCAACCACATCATAAAACTTCTAATATTTATGAGCTCATATCCGAGACATATAGACTTCGCAGATGGCAATCTAATTACTGCCTGAATCACATATCTCTGCGCATTAAGATACTATATGCACTCTCATTTGTATGCCGGCAGATTGACAATCAAGGCATCAATCAGCATGCCAAGTCATTCAATTCATCGGGGTGGAGAGTCATGCACCCCAGTTAACACCTCTGTGGATATGGATAGTTCTCTCCCCATTTCTCAGCTTCCCTAGCTTCTCTAGAGATCATTTACCTGAGTCACAACTTTTTCACATGCCGGTAGGTCAAGATCGAGTGTGCAAAATGCACATTCCTAAGGCGAGGGTGTAAAGCTAAGCCGACAACAGAACTTGATATATTCCATTTTAATTACATTACGTAAAACTAATCCCCTCCTTAATATCAATAATGTTTATGACTCGACCCTTTACTTTTTACGTTTGAATGATTAATTCAAGTGGTGTATTTGCTCAAAGACATTACTTTATTCAGATAAAACCAATTTTAAAGAATGTTGCTTAACAAATTTGGTTTTCACTTGAAACAATATTCTAAGCCATAGAACTTGGCATAGATGTTAATTCGATAAGTTTGATGGGATGTGGAAATAAATTAAAGCTTCAAAGGCATTAAAACAGATTGCACTAGTCACAGATCAGGGGCGGATACAGGTATCTGCCTGGGGGGCGATCAAAATTTTTTTTAAACAATGCAAGTAGCAGGTGGCAAATAATCAAAAATTATACGCAGTTTTATTCAAAACACTCGTTACAAATAAATTAATTAATTTTAATCTAAATGGCGAATTCCATTATTCTTTTCCCTCTTTTTAAAAACTTTTCTATAACTCTCTCGATGTGAATACTGATTTCGGAATGCGTATGTAGCAATGCTAGGCTAGTTAGTCTTAGGAGGAGCGATAGACAAGGGAAGAAGTAGGGCAAGGAAGGACTGGCGACACGCTGTAACACGCAGGTTTCCGAAGTTCACGCCAGTGAAGCACCTTTTTCAGAAGCTGAGGGGGGCGATCGCCCCTATCGCCCCCCTGTATCCGCCACTGTCACAGATGGAACTCATTGACATTAACTACACCTGTTTTTGTTATTTGCCAGCATGAGTTAACATACTTGCAACACTTCGTGGGTCAAGAACGACAATAACAACAAAGCAAATGCGGGTGGAATTGGACAACACGAGAGTTATTAAACCTTAGGATCGAATTTAGTTTATAGAATACTTGAATACAAAAATTCTTCATTTTATAACATTTTAGTACACTTTTCTGGGCAAACTTAATTTTTAATTGTAAAATAGACAAATCTAAAATTTCATTATTAATGTTTATGGTTATAAATACTTCCTTAAACTGATTTGTTATGCGACATTCTATTTTGACCAAGTGGCAGCCGTGACAATATTTCAACTTCTTACTCACTTTGAGTGATTTGCAACCTCAGGGAGTCGAGTCAAACGTCTTACTTTCTCACAGTCGGCGATTATTTTTATGCGGTTGAGCTTTTTGCCTGATAAGTACACGAATACATATGCATATGTGTGCACCTGTGGGGGGACCCTTACCCTCCCTTTTTTAATGGCCAACATGCATGGCGAAAAACATTTACATACCACTCACTCACACAATTGGGGAGGCAACTCATTGTTGTTCCCAGGTTTATGGAAGATCCGATTGTTGTTGTTGTTGTCGCTGGCAGTGCTAATTGCGATTATCTCACACGAATATACAAATATATGTATATAGAGAAGTTGGCAGCGACGTCAACTGCAACGACAACGGCGACAGCGACTGCGTTCAAATTTGAATTCATTTTCGAGTCGAAAAAAAAGTGGCAAGTAATTTCGAAAAATATTCTTACTGTCTAGTCAGTAGAGTTTTAGACGTGATACCGGACGTTACGTGGGCGGCACTTAAAAGGAAAAGCTGGCGAATGAATTCGTTTGCGGAGTGAAAGTGAAAACGGAAAGATTTCAGCTACTGCAAAAGTTCTCATTACACCTGAGAATCTCAGGGGGTTCTTACAAATATATAACGAAATCTTTGCAGAATCTTGTGATCTTGTGTGCTAAATATACTGCCAGTGGCTGGCAATTAAAATATTTAATTGCTTGTGAAAGAGTTAATAACTAAGCTGTCAACGGCGACCTTGGCAGTGTGGCAGTGGAATATAGATCCTAAGATAAACGCAATGCACAGTGTTTCGGTTCTAAGTTGCCTTTGCCTCAGCCTGAGTTTAATCAGGGCCGTTCCGCAGATAAATCTCCCAACTCCTCAACCAGAGGTTTTCTACAATGGGTATACCCCCAATGTGGCCACTACTCCTGCCCAACTTCGAGCCGATCGGGATCGGGATCAGCGTTATGGGCCTCCTTACTCCGATGAAGCGAGGAGTGGCAACACCGATGATGGATTAGATGATTTTAGGGTGGGTGTGGCCATCTTTAAATCACTGGAAAAAATTCCATACAGTACCAAGAATGTGTATTCAAGAGTGGAGTGTAAGAAACTCCATGAAATGATTCTTAATAGCAATCAAAATTTAATTTATTAATTTAGTAAATTTCTTTATGGAATCTAAATAATCCTAAACTTAAAGCAAACAACACATTTTAAATTTATATAAACAACATTTCAAGCAATCTTGGTACTAAAAGGATATTTTTTCTAGTATTTGATTGCTTTTTGAACTCCTCGATCCTTTGCTTATAGTATGGCCAGACGAATGACGAACGCATGAGGATCGGCTATTCCTATCCCTCACCTCGAGTGAACTTCAGTGACTCACCGTTCAGTGGGAATAGGTATTCCAATCACAACTACGGACCCATTTCGAGCACCACCGATCGAAACTACGGGAACGATCCCAACCTAAACGGAAGATATTCAGATGTGCCCTATTCAACTCAAGGAGAACGGAACTACAATCCCAACGATCAATACAACTACAACAATAATCCCAATGTGGAGTTTTTGGGCAACAATCGGAATCGCTTCGAGAATCCTTTCCTCTCAAATCAGGATAGATTTAACCTAAATCAAGGTTACTTGGAACGACAGCGATATCAGCAGGATCGTCGCTATCAACAGGAGTTGGAGAAGCTGCGTATCCTTCTTGTGGAGTCCGATCAAAAAGGATCTCTCGAGTGCACCGCCAATGTGGCTGCCCAGTGGAACTTCGAGACGAATGTCAACGATTTTACCCAAACGGAAGCGGTGAGTGAGCGGTTTTTGGCCAAAAACAAATGCCAGTACTATGTTAGTAAATCGCGTAATTGTGGTTGAATGGCACGCGATATTTGCGGTGGTGGTGGTTCAGTTTTTCTCATGGTTCGCTATGGTAGTTTTCTTACACACGCACACACATTCGGATAAGTCAGAAAAGTCGCATTCTGAAGGTCGAATCGCCTTGTCAGATTCCCAGGCAGACATGCCAATGTCAAAGCGATGTAGTTTTCCCAACCACGTTGTAAGTGTGGACTAATCGCTGCTCGAAGGTAGATTTATGAGTTGGATAGAAGTTTTATACCATTTCTAACAACCTCTCGGTTTTATAATAAGAGAGGTGATAAGATTCTCTTACCTTGGTTAAGCTTAAAAATAAACCCTGATATAGGAAATACTGCAATTTTTAATTAAAATATATTTGCTTTATAAAATTAAGATGATTTCTTAATATTCAATGTAAAAGCAGTTAATAAGTGTATAAACTGTTTAAAAAACGCAGCAAATATTTAAAATTTTATTAATAAATGTAAGTGTTGTAATTTCATGTTTAATTTTTTTAATGGATTTGTGATATCGCTAGCGACTGGTTTTTATTTTTTTTTAGAAAAAGATATAATTTTGATTGTTTAATATTTTTCTTTTTAATATTAACTAGCTCAATGCTCAGCAGCGATATGTTGAGTTTCAGCGCATTACTGCTGAACAATCTAAAAGGATCAACAAGGATCTCATCTTTGATCGCCGACTTTATAGACAATTAATGCTTCAATCGGAAGTAGGACCCAATGCTCTGCCCCTAGACGTTTTAGACAGAGTGAGTCATGTTGTTTTTTTTATTTAATAGCAAATTTCTAAAGTTTTTGTTATTGTAGTATAACCGCCTGCTGAATGAAATGCTGTTCCTGTACAACAGTGCCAGCATTTGTGCTTACCAGCAGCCCTTCCAATGTGATCTTCACTATATTCCCCAGCTGAAGGACATTATGGCTAAAAGTAGGGATTGGGATGAGTTGCAGCACACTTGGGTGGAATATCATAGAAAAGCCGGACGTGGAATGCGAGATAGTTATGAGCAATTAATTGATGTGATGCAAGAGGTGGCCTATGTAAACAGTAAGTATAATATTACAATAATCAAAGTCGCAATTTAAAAACATTCCTTTCTGCAGACGTCACCAATGGCGGTGAATACTGGTATCTCGGATACGAATCGGGTAACTTTCGCCAGGATATGGACATTGTTTGGGAGCAAATAAGACCTCTCTACGAAGCTTTGCATGCCTATGTTCGTCGGAAGTTGAGGGATTACTACGGACCAGATCGCATTAACCGAATAGCTCCGCTTCCCTCGCATATTCTGGGCAATATGTACGGCCAATCGTGGTCCAATGTCCTGGACATTTTGATACCCTATCCGGGTCGCAAGTTGATTGATGTGACACCCCGAATGGTGGAACAGGGATATACACCCCAATTGATGTTTCAGTTGGCCGAGGAGTTCTTTACCTCGATAAATATGTCCGCCGTTGGTCCTGAATTCTATCGCAATTCCATATTCGAACAGCCTTTGGACAGAAGAGTTCTGTGTGAACCATCCGCCTGGGATTTCTGCAATCGACACGATTTCCGGGTGAAGATCTGTACGGACATCAATCAGCGGAGTTTGATTAGCGTTCACCATGAGATGGCCCACATTCAGTACTTTCTGCAGTACCGTCATCTTCCCAAAATCTTCAGGAATGGCGCCAATCCGGCTTTCCATCAAGCTGTGGGTGATGCCATTGGACTTTCGGTTTCCACTCCAAGGCACTTGCAAACCTTGGGACTTTTGCAAAGGTCCCTCGACGAGTCCAGCTATGATATTAACTATCTGTTCACCATGGCCATTGATAAGGTAAGTTATTTACATCTGTTTCTACTTATTGCAAGTTTTACTTGCTTTCAAGCTTTAAAATATGACTAACTCGTTTGAGATAAATCGAAGAAACAATGGAAGTCAAAACCTATCCATGTAATATTTTTTAATTTATAGTTTCATAGTGACTCATTTAGTATTCGATAAAAGAGAAATGGCTTTTTGTAGATAAAGTGGACGTTTTTAATGAATCACTTAGCAAAGCCATACAAAGATACATATTTTATACTCTATTATGTTTCAATAAAAGGTAAGGAACTAGATTACTAATTGATTTTATTGTAATTTTTTTACAGGTTGCTTTTTTGCCATTTGCTTTATCTTTGGACAATTGGCGCTATGATGTTTTTAGTGGAAATGCAAATAAACGAACCATGAACTGCCACTACTGGAATATGCGGTTTGTATATAATTCTCGAAAAATATCTTCAGGTAGTTTTAAATAACCTTTCTTTTCTAGTGAAAAGTATTCCGGGATTAAGCCTCCAGTTTTGCGTTCGGAAAAGGACTTTGACATGGGAGCCAAGTATCACATACCAGCAAATATTCCCTACATCAAGTGAGTGTTTAAAATGTTCTATGATCAGTTATATGTTGCATAATTATTTGGCAAACCATTCTCTTATCTAATTATTTGCTGCATAACCGGAGCAATTAAAGCGTCAATCAGCGGCACGTTATTAATTTTGCTATTTTTGATTACAATTTACACACAATTTCAAACATTTTCCGTCAAATTGCCGGCGATTACGCGTTGCGATCGCCGAGATCGTCGAACCGGCCATAAAGTTGGCCCACTAACATCACATAATCTGCACAACATACACACACAAAACACATACTTCGGCTCGGTGGAAAAGAAAATGAAATGAAACTGAAAACTCACATGTCTGCAATGTTTCCCGCATTCACTTTCCACTTGGCTGCGGCCAACAAACAGAGCGGGTTTAGTTGGCCATCATTTGAATAAGCCCGGTCGAAAAACTGTTACGAAAATCCCGCCCAGACGATTTTAACTGTGCAGGCCTGATTGCCAAAACTTTAGACGTTGACCCAGTAATCCACAAATATTTTCTGTCTCGAATTTCCTCTTTGTTGCTTCAATAACAAAATACAAAAGAAGGTGTCAATGTCGAATATGATTTTTTAAGTTGCGTAAAACCATGTTGGCTAAGGTTTCACTTAAACAATGTTCACTTATGTGGTTTAGTTCTTTTAATGGTTGTTAGATAATACAATTACAAAAAATCATTTATATATTATACATTTTTTAATAAATTTCCCTTTTCTCTGCTGTTAAAAACTATCCAAAGTTAAATAATTAAATTAAATAATTTCCTTTTTTCTTATCTTGGGTTTGAAATCCAACTTGATTGTATTTTTCTTTAAAAATCAAAGGACTTTATTTCCACCAATTTAATGGAGTGCAAGCTGGCTCTCCCATCAGCGCCATTAGCCAGATTTTTATTGCGGCCATTCTTTTGGCATTAGCCACACACTCGGCGTGGAAAATAGAGGGCGGTGAGGAAGGAGCATTACAACACCAGTTCGCAGCTTGGCCATTGTGCTGGCGATTATTTATTGCATAATCAATAAACTGCAAACGCTACAGTTACATAAACAAAAGCTACCAGAAACAACTAGCCACCAAGAGAGTTAGACCCAATATGGTAATAAAACTCGGCTCAGCTTAGCTCAGCTCGAACCTCGACTCTCGAGTCGACGGGTCTACGGCTCAAATATCGGTTAGCAGCACATGTCCTACAAACCGACTGGGGGAAAAAACGTGATAAATCCGTGGCCCACTTTATTTAACCCACTCTGCAAATTGCAGCGGCTTCAATGAAGCCGAAAATGCAAATTGAAACCCAATCTTTGTGGTCGCTGCAACAGGCGGTGTTTACTTTTTGTTTTGTTTCTGTGGCAGCCACAAAAGGAGTGCAAGAAACCAAGACCTAAACCGAGACCGAAACCGAAAAACCAAAGCTGGTGCTAATAAAAAGTAATGCCCACACCGCAAAATAAGCGCTAGGAAATGGACACGAGTGCATAGTATAGAGTGCCGTAGCCCGAGGAAAGCGAAATGATGGTGTGGAAAATGTAATAAACATGTTGAACTGTCTTAGCCACGTCCTCCAATCCCCCCAACCCAAAAACCCCCTTTTGCCTGTCTGTCTGGCTGTCTGACTGTCTCTCTGTGGGCGAGACACTTTGAATATGCAATTATGAATGCAAGGCGATGTTTACCTCATTTGAAAATTAGATAAGACATTTATGGGCAATGAAGGAACGACTTGATTCGGCTCCCCGCCTTCCATGTTTGGTTTTTCTGTGGGTAGAGCGGTTTGGCTGAAAGTGAATTTGGCCAATGCAAATAGCTGCAGAATGTGGAAAATGTTGGGGTTAAGCTGCGATTATAATAATGAGGGAAATTACATTTAGAGGGAGCTTGCTGTCTAGTCTGCCGCCACAATTAGGACCTAAGCTCAACATTTATGGTTATTCCTCCTCTTTTCCTACTTTTTAATACATTGTTTGTAAATTACTTTACCTTTATTTATTTCTCAATAAAATTTAAAAACCATTTTATTGCTCTGGTGCTGAATTTTCTTTGACAGATTTTTTTGGTTTAACATTTATTTAAGTTCTAGAAAATAATTGTGAGACAGAAATAAGCTTATAAATTTTTCTTTTTATATATAAAGATTTCCATTTGCAACTTTTGATGTTTTTTATTAAAGCTATATAAATGCTAAAAGAAAACGTTAAACAATTTTAAAGTCAATTATATTTTTTTTAACAAAATGATTCATTCATTCATAATTTTTAGGTTGACATCCAATTAGATCAATTTTTTTAAAGCCACTTTGTTTTTTTCTGTAAAATTCTAAAAAAATAATAAAAAGCAGTTTTATTTTCGTTTTGATCACTTGGTTTTTCATTTATTTAATTGTGTATCATTCATCAGCTTCATTTTGTATGAGATTTTGTTTGTGTGTTTGCTTTTATACAGAGTCAAAAGATATTTGGTAAATGAAGTACTTTTTATAAATCCGTTTCGTCTGCTTGCTGCGAACAGGCAAATTACATAGACATACTAACAACTAGGTAGCGAAGAATATTACAAAAAACTAATACAATACGTTCGTTTACAAACTGACTTAAATAGGCGTCTCCCCTATATCTCGAATATCGCACAAGCTTAAACACTATCAGTAGTCTTATCACACGCTCACAACGCTGGGACGCTGCACACAACTGGATGGATATATCCCTATTCCATATCCAAATCCGTATCTTCGATCTTCGGATGAAATGGGGATGGATCGATCTCACTTATGAACCTGACCGGGTGCACGAGTCGGGGTGGACCAGAGCAGAAGAGGGAGGAGCCGCGGCTGGAGGACAAAACAGCAGCAGCAACCACATCGATGATGCACCCAGGTGGTGTCGCTTCCTTCCTTCCAAACAGAGTTGTCCACTACAGAATCCTTGAAATCCTTCAATTCCTGGTTCTTGGCAACTGTCTGTGTGTCTTTTGGAGGGTCGGGAAGTGGGTTTTGTTGTTTTTAGATCTTGATCTTTAAGTTGATGTTCTTTCTTGTTGTTGTGTGGGCTGTGCAACCCAAATGTGTCGCTTAGAAGTCTTAAACTAAAGTTCCTTTTACAATCCACTCATTCACAGTGCTTCACGGGTTTTTCGTCAACGTTTTAAGGTATCCTTTTGTGTGTTTCTTTTTCATATCGTTTTTTTCTTTTCTTTCTTTTTTTTCATTTTGTTTTATATGGCTTACGGCTAGAAGAGAGTTCGGTCTAAAAGCTAAGTTCGTCTATTACTTGTCTGGTTTTTCTCTGAATCTCTGTCGGTTATCACGTTCTGCATAGCAAAGTGTGTTTCTTTTTTTTTTGTTTTTTGTCGGGAAAGAGTTAGGATTGTATGATATGGTTTTTGGAATGATGTGATGTGTTGCGGGTTGTATGGTTTTCGGTTTCAGTTTTTTTTGTCACTTTGGGAAATAGTGGAAATGGAAGAGTCTTAGCTTGCCATCCCAGTTCATTCTCAATGCTGCAAAGAAAAGCGAAAGAAGAAAGTGGGGGGGAGAAAGAGAGAAAAGGACGGTGAACCAGTTTAGTAGCCGTGATATGAATGATAATCATGAGAGGCAAAATCATGCTCCACCTCGTGCTCATGCTCCACGATGGGATGCGAATGGTGCGAATGGTGATGGATGGGGGCGTGGTGGTGGTCCTCCTCCTCGATGTGCTTGTGGTGGAACTCGGGCTCCTTGTAGGTGATGTGCTTCTCATGGTACTCCGGCACGTGCTTCTCGATGTGAACATGAACGGGCTTCTCCACGGGGATCTTCACGGGGTACGGAACGTGTTTCTCCACCTTGACGGGCACTTCCTTGATCACTGGATATGGGGCGGGCACATGAACCTTGACCTCATAGGGCACTGGCTTCTCAACGTGAACGGGAACGGGACGATCGTAGGGCACATGGACGGGCACCGGAACCTTCTTGATAACGGGCACTGGCACTGGTTTGTCCACATAGTGGGGCACTGGCTTGTCAATGTAGTGGGGCACTGGCTTGTCGACGGGAACCTTCACGGGGTAGTGGACCACTTTCTCAACGGGATATGGCTTATCCACATGCACGTGCTTCTCCACATTGTAATGGACAACCTTCTCAACGGGATAAGGAGCAGGGACATGAACCTTCACAGGGACATGAACCTTCTTTTCAACGGGATAAGGAGCGGGCACATGAACCTAAGAGAGAAACCAATAATTAGCACCCCTAAATGTTTAAGGGGGATTCCCAAAACCCACCTTAACTGGCACTGGGCGATCGTAATGCACATGGACTGGCACATGGACTTGTTTCTCCACTGGATAGGGAGCTGGCACCTCGTAGGGAACCTTCACGATCTCCTTGACCTCGTAGGGAATGTGCTTGATCACCGGATAGGGCTTGGGCACCTTGACTTTCACGGGCACATGGACGTGCTTCTCCACCGGCACATGGACGATCTTCTCGATGGGCACGGGCACTGGCACCTTCTTGATTACGGTCAGTGTCTTCTCCTCGTGCACTGGGAAGTGGGGCACATGGTGGTGGTGGTAGTCCTCGTAGTGGTGCAGTCCTCGCTTCGACTTGGTGGTGTCCTCGCTGGCCGCTGGAGCCTCGGCAGCCTTGGCCTCCGGCTCGGCCTTCTTCTCCTCAGCGGGAGCGGCGGCCTTCTCTTCCTCGGCCCGAACGTAACTGGTGGCCAGGAGCAGGACCAAAGCCAGCGATGTCGCTGTGCGCTGTAAATTGAAGTGGTGCTCATTAGAATACTACTAAGAGATATTTTGACTGATGACAGAAGCATTCAGAGGCGATTTAAAGTTAGATCGGAATCTTTCTAACAAAATTTGGCAAAATGATTACTTTTTTCAGAATAAATGCAATTCTTTCAGTTCCTAAGTTGCTTAATTCTCTTGCCGTTATTGATGCTATTGATGTAATATTTTTTATAAAGTGCTCTTAAGCGATTTGGAAAAATATTAACTTTTATTTTTAAAACATTTTTCGTTTAGTATCTAAGCTGGACCAATGGTTTCGTAACACCTTTAAGTGCGTTTTAAGCAACAATTTTTTAGTTGAGTATTAGTATAGAAAACATACTGTTGAAATCACTGGATTAAACTTTCTTTATGATTCTATAAGTCTTTTCTTTTTAATGCATATTGTGCGTTTTTATCACCAATTCATAAGATATTTCTCTTGCATATTCTCGAGTCCTTTTTATTCCACTGCACTTCATTCTTCATTCGATACTTACCATCAACTTCATGCTGCTGCGTTTATCCTTCGATGGACGGGAGTGAAAATCCGTATCCCAGGTCTTTTTGGGCCGCGATTCGAGAACTGGGCGAGAACTGATCCCGTTTATATCGAGGGGTGTCTATTGATCACTAGCTCACACGTTCCGTACCACTCTAGGCTGTAGACTGTTCGACGGTTAACGGTTTAATGATGCCAACTGCAGCGCCTGCGCGCACTTTTATAGTTCCCAATCGAAAGCAAATCCAAGCCGCCGAATGAATGGATGCACGAAGTTAGCCAAGCCGAAGAGCAGACGGCGGCCAAAACCATCGGCAACACCAATAATAATCGCAATGGCCCAAAACACATGCGGCGCAGCGAATGGTGAGCGGTACCCCGTACTCTTGTGGTTGTTGTTTTTGCTGGTTACTATTGTTGTTGTTGTTGTGCGGTTGCCTGTCTACTTTGCCTTCGGTGGTCCGCTGGCTTCGCTGGATTTTGGAGGCGCGAAGTCAACGCAGCCAAGCGCCAAATGCAGTGCCGTCGTCACCGCGAAAAAAAAACCAAAAACAAGAATGGCAATTGTGCTCCGAAATACGAAACTTTGTATACCCTTTAATAATTAGTAACTGCGATTAGGAAGAAATTACTAAAAATGTTGATTTGTGATGATCACTTTAAATTCGATTGTTATTTGCAAAGACTTATTTAAATAACATAAGAAGTTCATTAAATGCATTTTCAAGGATATATATCCTGCGCTTGTTAGAATAAATAAACACCTATCGGTCTTTAGAAGGTATACGAAGTATTGAATACAGTTCTTAAGTTTTTAAAGTTTCTTAGGTAAATTACTTATAACTAGGAAATTAACCTTAATAAGTAAGCTGTGTACCTTTTGAATATTTCTTAAATCTTTATAACATTTTTTATTACAAAATGTTTGTGTATTCGCAATTAAAAATATTTTAAAGGCTTCTAACATTTAAAGCGCACTCCTTGACAATTAATACGGTTTATGGTACCCCATTAGTTAAAGTTGGAACACCAAGTTGATCTTCAAAGTCGTAAAACCCCTTTTGAGGGGTATAAACACAGAAATAAGATTGCAATATCAAGAGGAGACAGGGGGGGTTTTCGGGGGAAAAGGTGGAAAAGCAGACGAGGGTCTATGGATGCGTGCCATTTTGCTGTTTAATTCGACTACCGTCAGCTGCCTCTTGTATTTTTATTTTTTGTAGTTTTTTGCTTCTTGTGGCTGCCGCAAGTCAGTGCACGTAAAAGGCTTGAGAAACGACGGCGGCAACTTTAGCAGCAGGCACCACAATTTCTGGCTGGTAATTGAATAATACCCAAATGGATGAGCCGCCTTCAAGCCACTTCAAGTGATGAGCTGTTCGCTTTGTTGGCGGTTTTCATTTCAATGTTGTTTTTATGTTAATCACTGATGATTATGTACTTGCTGCCGCTGCATTTTTATTTGCTAGCTCTTCGTGACTGGGGGATTGTTCTGCGGATTGATGTTTTGATTGATTGGAAATAGAAAACATATTAAATCTTGTGCTGTTGTGTTAAAGAAACTGAGATTAAAACATAATATATTACAAAATACATTTGGAATTAACCTGAAAAAAAAACATTCTTCAGATAGAGCTCTATAGGTCAAACTGGAAGATATACAAAGGTTATATCACTTTTATGCTTTTGTGATAATTACTAAGTAAATGTAAAAGTAGAGTTTTTGGGTCATCTTATTTATTTAATTAATTTCTACCCATTAACAAAGAAGTAATCCAAATAACAATTATAATCTTTTACCATACCCTAAAAAAACTACTAATCTACTTTAGCTTTTCCTTTCACCGATTTAAACGTTTTCCTAATTGAATGGTCTATTAATCCTGTTGAGTCTTTCCTTTTATACGGAGTCTTTACCTCTCTCACTTTGGTTACACCCCCTTTTTTTTGCCCCGTGTCACCTGTTTTTCCCCTTCCTCAACTGACCACAGACAATCCTCTGTCTGGCTGTCATCTGTATCCTTTTACTTTTTTCCCCAATCGCATTATGCCATTATCCCATTCACTCGACCCAGCCCCAGTGATTCCAGACCAGTTTTTCTGAGCTTGGGGGCCCGATCCCCAGTTTGGCCGGGGAGTGTGTCACTCGGTCATTCGGTTGTGTCACCGCTCCAGATTCGAGTCACCAACAACCGCAAACCATAACCTAAGACAAAGAGCGGCCAGAGTTACAGAAGTCGGCGAACCGAGACGCCACTCCAATCCATTCGCCGTTGGATTCCGTTTCCATTGCTGCGTAATTGATACCACCAATTTGATACCACCGCCGCCGCAAACAGTAGCGCCACCAGATCCAAGTGGACCCTGGTCGGGGCGGGTCCAGTCTTAGTCCGATTACCTTCCTCGTTATTATGTCAATGGGTCTTCAGTCGGCCGCCGCTTGGCACACATATCGCGTACAAATATATCACACTTAGTGTAGGATACGAGTTTAAGGTGCAGACCATAACGACTTCTATTAAATATTTAATAATAATAAAATAGTACGTATATAATAATAATTAATTGAAGAATATCTATAGGTCATGAATTGTTGATAACTTAAGATTAATTTTATTTTTGTATATTAAGAGTAAAAGATTAGATAGAACCCATTTAAAAAGTATTTTGTACATATTTAACAAATGTTAAAATTAAATTATATTAATTAAATATTGTGTTGTGCTTCCTAATTCAAATAATTCCTTTATCATATATTTATGTTTTAATCCTTATTCTGAATAGATATTATTGGTCTGTGGTTGCCTTACAATCATGCTTTGCACCTTACAATCCAAGACTTGTTACGATAGCAAATATTTTCTCGCTTTCGTTGCATGCATGCAACTTTCGATTTCGTTTCGATTCGCGTTTGTTGCATGTCTGTACCACATTGTTCGGAGCACATTTCCACAATCGCTGGAAAGAAATGGTGGAAAGCCAGAAGAAAAAGAGGCGGAGAGTGTTTTCGGAGGCTGCCCCAGCTGATGTGGATATTATGTCATATGTTCGTATGTTCGTTTGCTGGGGCGCACGCCTACCGTCAAGGAGATGATTTCGAGTACGTTGTCTAAGCCCGCCATAAAAATCGGCTGGAGTGCACTTACTTCCTCGACTTAATTACCATATGCCTCCATTTGTATCGCCAAACAAAGCCAAACTCTTCGCTATTCGCTTTACCCCTCCTCCAATTGTTTTGCCATGTCTTTTTGAAAATCATCTTTCGATTGGAGCTCAACTTCTTTGTGGCGATATTCAGGCTGCAGCTCGTTTGTTTACATTGTTTGCTTGGCTTGACCTTGCTGTATTTGGCGATAAAGTAAGCTTTACATAAATTCATTCATCCATTTTGATGCGGCTTTATTGGCCGACAAAGGTGTCAAAGTTGAACCATCCGCCGATTGATCATCCATAGAAGTAGCTGGCTTCGATTTGCATTCGCTGTCTGATTTGTGTAACAATTTATTGTCGTCACTCGGTCGGGTATTCCATTCCACTTCGTTCCCATTTTGAGTTTTAAGTGTGATGTCTCAAATATTGGACGACTTCCAACAATATATAGAGCTGTAAGCCATGTAGGCGAAAATGACAGTTATGACACTTTATGTGCCGTTTACCAAAAGTCGCATTCAGCTCTTTGTCACCTACGGTTGTTGGTTGTTCGTTGTTGTTAGTTGTTGGTTGTTGGTTGTTTTGGTTTCGCTTGTGGTTTCCACCTGCCAAGGTGTTCGTATAACTGTTTTTGGGTCTCGGCGGTTTAACCGTTTCGCGTTTTGTTTACTGCCATTTTGGATGGAACCGCCGGAGAGTTCATTGCATTACTGGTCAAGGTCGTTGCTTGGGCTCGGTACCCCGTCCACCTGACTGAAAAGTTGGCTCAGAAAAACTAATCTCGCAATTTGTCACGGAAAACTTAATGGTTGAAAAGTTTTTAAAGAAAAGAGTTAATAGACCAATTAGGAAAGCTCTCAATAGGAAGCTAATTATATCCAAATGGATTTACCCCAAACAATTGTAAAATAAAATAAAAGGGAATAGGGTTTATAATTTTTAAAAATTTCGATATGTGTTATATTAATACTTAAAATTATTTTATGTTTATAATATGCACTTAGATGTGAGTAGATATCCTATAACACCCAGTGGATAGTTATTAACCATTACATTTTCTTTTGAAACAGAAAGTGAACCTCCTTGGACTTCAAAGGGAAACCCCCGAAGTTCAATGCCACCCAAAAGGTTCATTAGGCAAACAAAATATTAACTATCCCCACGATCCGTACACTATTCAGGTTAATAACCATTCCAATGAACTTGCAAGACGTGTTAACTGCAATTACTGCCCCCTTACAATCGGTCGGCTGCGATCAGCTCTCGCTTTTCATCTAAGACAACCGCTCCACTCCAATGATCGCTGCAATTAGGTTCCAATCGGGGTTTACGATCTCGGTTTAACGCATCTTTGAACCGATCGGCGAAATACCACTCAGAAATAACAAGCCAGGAAATGGGGTCAATGGCAAAAGCATTTGAACTCTTGCCTCTTTTTTGTGGCCAGAGTATTTGTGCCTTCTTTTATCTAGATATGAAAACGGTTTGGGCCTTTATTGTCCGAGAAGCTAACTCGCTATTTGGTCACATTGTCACGCGCCGACGAATGCTTTTGGCTACACTCAATTAAGCCAAAAGCAAAACACAAATGTCTATATTTCTTTATGCATCTGCAGCTAGCCGTGACGTTCACTTAATCAAATTTGTGGCTAGGAGTCTCTCGCCATTTTTGTGGGCAGTTTCGCTAAGCCAAACTGATTAATAAGGAAGTTAGGCCTGCGACCCACCTGCGAGTTTATGCAGATTTTTCGTGCGGTAAAGCCAGAAAAACCAGTCAAAGGAAAATATTTATTAGCATAATAATTCCGCCTGGCGGCCAGCTTCATTTTGTCCGGCTGTTAAGGGGTGTAATAGTTGACCTATTGACTTGGTCAACAAATTTCACATTTCGAGTGAAAAACTAGCGAAATATAATGAGGAAAATCCTCAGGCTGTCGCCACTTCTTCAGCAGAAACTTTAATTTCGATTTCAGTTTTGGCCACAATTCACCTTTGTTTTTGCGGCCATAATTACAACAACACCCGAAGTCTGAAACAAAGTTGGCAATCAAATAGCCAGCTCGTGTTGTTGGTGCAAATTGCGTAAATTGAATAAACATTATGCTGTAGTTTCGCCCAGGGTAGCAAGTAGACACATTCGGGCTGGTCCGTTTCTTGTCGGCGTTTTCGTTTTACATTTGGTAAATCTGTTTTGGCAGCTCTTGGCTTTGTTGCCTTCCCAGACGCAGTGGGGCGAAGCCGAAGTTGTAATTTGGTGTGAATGTGGATGGGCAATCGAGGGGTGCTTAAGTGGTTCAAACTTAGGGATAGAACAGCAAATACCAACATATATAAAAAATTATTTTATATGACGGGTCTATCTTAAGGGAAAGCATTATTTTAAGCTTTCGTTTTGAAGAATGTTCTTTTATATTTAACAATTTATTATACAAATTTTGAGCATTAATAAGGGGACTTAAAATTTCTTTCTATTTTTAATCATATTTAAAAAAAGGGTGCGAATTTGATCTTGGTTAAAGCAAACAGAAAACCTTTAAAGGAATTTAACTTGCTTTTACCATTCCAAAATGAAAGGAAACTTTTCACAACTTTTGCCACCAACCTCGGCCAGTCTAAAAATATAGAGCGGAGCGTAATAAGGCAGCACTTAAATGACTGTAATTAACAAAACAACAGCAATAAAAGAAAAATACGAACATTAAGCAACGATCTTAGCGAAATAAAATACGTAAATGCACCTAAAAATACGAACTGAAGAATTCAACTGAAAAATTAAATGTTATGGCCAAATAAAGGTAGAACGCCTACTTATTGGTCAAGCGTAATTAACAGCACGATAAGTCACGGGTACATCAATCAAATGCTCTTTACCGTTTTCCTATATTTTGAAAAAACATGCAATAAGGCAGTGAAAACCTGATCGAACAAAGCCACTTCCTAACAGGCAAAATTAGCGCACAAAGAAAGTAAAATAAAGTACGCATGAAAAATGCATGCCACATTTTAATCACACACTGCTTAACTAAATAAAATTAAGTAATTAGGTATACGAGGTATTTTAAAATGTAATCTATAGAAGCGTAAAGTGTTTATTGTTTATAAATATAATCCCTTCATTTTCATCACCGCTTAATATTTAGCACTGTTCGCTTGCAACAGATGAAAGATCTGCTCTATGATAAATGCCAAAAAATTACCCACACAGGTTTCCTATCTAACTTATATCGCTTTCGGCGGTTGCTCATTAGGCTCTGTGGGACTGTCGAAATGTGGCAACACATTTGGGTTTGGAAAATTTCTTTGCAACCGAAATGTTGCGCGCAAAAGAAATTGCAAGTCAATTACCGTTAGACGGTTTGCATGGCGCCATGACGTAATCGCCACATGTGGCAGCCGCATACAAAGAAATCTGAATTTACAAGCCACAATAATATCAGACAAGTCGACGTCATCAGCATATCGCTAATTGATTGCGTCTGCATTCGTTTTTTTTTTTGCTGTTTTTATTATTATTGCTGTTGTTGTTGTTTGTGTTTTTTTTTGCCGTTGCATTCACTTTGGTTATTGCTTTTTGGGTCGCGCCATTCTCCATTACCACACGCGTTCGCAATCGGGCCAACACGAAGCAGCGCTCAGTTTCTCGGGTTAGGACAAGATCAATGTTGCTGGCGTTGGTCAATCCAAACAGGCAACAGGTTCTCCCAAAACGAAAGACTCAGGCAGCGAACTTGAAACGCCTATCGGCTCTTTCTGGATTGCCTGTCATTGCAGTTGATTGCGCCGATAAATGTTGCTAGTCTCGAGCTGGCGAACGCTCGCCAACCTCACGTGCATTAATTGTTGCATCACTTTCCACCGGCTCGCTTTTCGTTTCATTTTTGGCAAATTACCTGCTATTTCTGTTTTTGCCTAAGTGCTTCACAGATTTTGAGCGAAATCGTGGAACAAGAGTAAGGTAATTCGATGGCCGCCTCGGGCTGCTATATTCGAAATTTGGTTTACTTTCTTTATTGATTCTAATTGTTATTACATGAAATTCTGTATTTTAATATATATTTGTAATATCAATAAATTGCATGAATGAATTAAAATTCTTCATTTCCTACTTATGATAATTGCAAAATTCTTTTGAAAACTCATATTAAAAATTATTTTTAGGGAATTCGTGGTTCTGTATTTAATTATTGTGAATTGTGTTTCTCAAAATATTTATCAAGAACTGAATATCTTAAAATTATGATGAAATATAATATCGTTTTACTTTCGCAGACTTTGAAATCCACATTGTGAATAATCATTCATTCAGAACAAAGACTTCAGTTATTATCACGCCCACACTTCTTATATTTTTATCATTTTTGTTTTTTTGTTTTACGGAATGTCGAACTATTGTGAAATTAATTTATTTTTTCATTTCATTATAAATGATAAGAACAGTGCTTCACATGAAATGTGTAGTAATATTTTTTGGAATGTTGAGCGATAAGTTTGAGGATTTATTAAATTTCTAATAGATCTCTTTGCATGTCAGTATCGAATTTCACCTCTTGGCATTCAATATCCATCACTCCTCGGCGTCTGCGAATTCGCAAAGTAATCACAGCCGCTATACAAATTGCCAAGATACAAATACCACAAATAATGCCCCAAATTAGCGGGTTGTGGTTAGAACTCTCTTTTGTAACTAAATTAGATGCATTAGTTTGTGTTGGTTGGGTAAAGGTATCCAAAAGTTTTGATGTAGTAGAATCCTGATATTCGGTAGTAGTTGCTTTAGTCGTAGTTGATGTTGAAGTCTGAATCATCACACATTTTCCATTGGCGGACTTTATGTAGTTTTCACAACATTGTAATTGATCCTCCATTTTGGTTTTCGTCTAGAAATTTTTTTTTTCTTTTCTTAAAACCCATTAAAATTTTTTAAAACTTAGAGCTTACCACTGTTTTGTTCCCCGCCGGTATGTTTAACTGCTCGAAATATTTAGCCAAACTTCCATAGTCTTGTATAGGCTTAGTAACGATTTCCGTATAGTTTACAACGACTTGCTTGATGCACAAATGCGGATCTGCTTGGCAATTGGCCATCTTGTACATAGATAAGGTTAACACAGAAAATATTATAAACTTGAGCATTTTTGCAATTTCAATCCGCTTCCCAAAACCAATAAAAAGCAACTGAGGAAAGAATTTGGGATAAGTATTTCATTATGTTCCGGAGAAAAATCAGTAGCGTCGCGGAATTTACTCAAAAGGGAGAATGTTCTTAAAATTTGAAAAAGCCAGCATATATTTTGTTCAGACATTCATTTATTAAGCTATTTATAAATAACTGTATAAACTTTAACCCCTGTTCAACTTATATCTCCTACATCACTGTCCGAAAACGATATGGAAGCTTAAGCAAAGATTACAGAAAGCTTCAGCAGCTTGTATCTATGAAAAATTACTTTAGCGAGCTTTATGCATCGATATTTTTTTAATGCATATTGCTGGGGATTAAATGGATTTTTTTCTTTTAATTTTGAGCTAATTTGACAACAAATCTTATACGTATTTAATTAATTAGTGGGTTGCTTAATTAAATATCAAGTTTTTAATATTATATATATGATGGTTGTGTTTGGCGGTGATTAGCTGCTTCGATTTGTGTTTTAGCGTGCAATTATAGGTTTATTTTAATGTGACAGGTCCTTAATTACAGTTTAAAACGAACAGTTTCATTTACATATCAGGATTTGATCACGGTATTCTATATATCTCTAAAATGTGTATTGTTTGTTGCATATCTTAAGGCTATTCAATGAAGTTACAGTTTTGAAGTCACTATAAATTCTACGTTACATTATGAACTACCAATTTTTTAAATTTTGTTTGTTGTTGGGTTTTATGGGGATTAAAAAGCTTCTGTATATTGAAAATCAACTTGTAATGTACAAAGTTTAGTTATTAAAAAATTACATTTGTTGCATATTTATGGGGTAGCCAAAAAATTTGAATTATAATCTGTCACCACACATGTACATATATTGTTCTATCCTTTTTTTTTTTTTTTAGGAAATTTTTAAAAATTTAGCAAAAAAATAAACTTTATTTCAACTTTGTGTGCCTAACACTTAAAAGTTTTCGAGAAATACAAAAAATGTAAGGACCCTTAACGATTACTTAAGAGCTGCACGTCCTAGAAATATTCGCTACAATTGTGATTTTACGAATCAATCTCAAGCTTAATTAATAACAAAATGATAACTCTTGCAGTCTTTCCAACATAAACTCAATATAAGTATGATTAGTTCTGGCAGCAAATATCAATTTCAAAATTCCTCGTATGCAGAACTTATTTCGACTAAACTGTACCTTGAAGATTTGAGTTTTCATTTTGATTCCTGTACGCAAAATTCCTAAAACTTAAAAAAAACACACATTTCATAATTTTTTTTTTTTAATTTTCGTTTTATTTACATTATTTAAATATGTACAAACATTTCATAGAAAAGAAATTGACATGAAAAAGTCGAAGGAGCAACTCGTCAGCAGTTATTTCTCAGTGGTTGTCTACAAAAGAGCTGTACACTCGGTGGAATCGGAAGCCAGGAGACAGGCACTCGCTAAAACGCCCCATAGAATGGGTTTTGGCAAGCTTTCTAGATTGGTTTTGCGTTAGATTTGAGTGTTTTTCTCCAGCTTCAGATCCCACCAGAATTTCGGTTGGTATCACAAACTAAAACTAAATTTGTAAGTCGTACGTTGGCGGTTGCTGGGCATTGGAAAATGGGTGTGGGGTTGGTGCTTGAATCTTGAAACTTCGTTTTGGGATACTTTTATCGACTTGTTCGATGCGATGTTCGACTGCTCACTCGCCTTCACCCGATTTCACTTCTCAGTTGGCCCTCGACAGCATTTGCGAAATTGATCTACTTTTTGTGGAGGTAGCCACCGTGTCCGGAGCTTCCGTACGAGGAGATTCCGTGTCCGGAGACTCCATACGAGGAGATGCCATGGCCGCCATAAGAGGAGATTCCATGGCCGGAGATTCCGTGGCCGGAGATGCCGTGGCTAATGATAGCGGGAGCGGCGGCAACGGTGTGGGTGACAGCCACAGCGGGCTTGACGTGGCTCTCAACGTGAACGGGCACGGGCACGGCCACCTTGTAGGGAACGGGACGCTCCACATGGACGGGCACCTTGTGGATCACGCGCTTCTCAACGGTGTATGGCACGGGCTTCTCCACGGGCACCGGGTATGGCTTGTCCACGTGCACGGTGTATGGGCGATCGACGGGGATCTTCACGGGCACACGGATCACCTTCTCGACGGGATAGGGCTGGGGCACCTCGACGGGCACCTTGACGATCTCCTTCACGGGCACATGGACGATCTTCTCAACGGGGTAGGGCTGAGGAACGGGCACCTTGACGGGATAGGTGACGGTCTTCTCCACGGGATAGGGCACATGACGCTCCACCTGGTAGGGAACCTGCACGGTCCTCACCACGGTGTTGGTGTGCACCTGAGTGGGCAGCTCAGCGACGGCGGGCGCAACTGGGACACCGACTCCAACTCCAACTCCGATTCCGGAGCCCAGAACGGCACCGCCGGCGGAGGGTCCGTAGCCGTAGCCCAAACCGTGACCAATGCCGCGCTTCTCCTGCTTCTTCTCGGCGGGCTCGGCCGCCTCGACTGCCTTCTTGGGCGCCTCCTCGCTGGCGCTGGCCACCAGCACGCACATCGCCACAAGGCCGAAAATGAGCTGCAATTGCAAGGTAATACTTTAAATTCCATCGAAACCTAATTTGGGTTGGCTACTGTTATGCAATTGCAGTCGGCCACTTCCGCAAAACGCCCCCGAATGCTACTCCATAATTTGGAATATGACAATTATGCAATGGCTGGAAAGTGGGCTGGGCACTGGGCATTCAGCCAAGTTCAATGGTGGCCTAGGCCCCCTAACATATTGGGCATGCGGCGTATACGTAATGTGGATTGAAGTTTTCGCAATGCTTTGGGTAAATGACATTTTGAAACAGGCAAATGGCAAAAACGTAAAGTTATATAAAGTTGCTTCAAATAATGAATAATAAATAGCAAAATGTTGATAACTATTTTATATAATTTATTATTTTGATATTCTAACTGTTTAGAAAAACTTCTTCAAAGACGGAATACAAGTTGAAAATTTAATTTATATTGCAGTCTTTCTAAACTTTGGACATACGATTAAATTTAGTTTCTTGTACTAAATAGCTGATTTATTCCTATAGTATCCTTTTTTTAAATTAAAAACAATAGTTCTTTATTTTCTTTGCAAAATAAAAAGTTAATTAGTCCTGCCATTAAAATGCAACGTTTTAATTGACAGCTAAGAACATCCGTTAATTCATTGTGTTTAAATTGAGTGATTTAAATCATGGAATAACTGGTTTTTATATTTCTTTTGATTGCCACACCGACGTGTCTGCATTATAACATAAATATTATTTTTTTTGCCGAGCCACTTTATCTGAAATCGAGTTCTTCAGGCACAATTATTCTAAGTAACACTTTGAAGGAGAACACACTGAGCTTAGACCGAACATACCATGGATTTCATTTTGCACTAGGTTTAGCTCCTCAACACTTTGCGATCAAGATGGGCTTGTATGTCTCAACCAACCCGCAACAGTTAACTGAATAATTTCGCACAGACGCTGCGAGCTTTTATATGGCCGATGCTGTGGCGGGATTGTCTTCAGTCGCGGCTGCGCAGTCGCAGCGCATCTAGATCGCAGCAGCCGGGCCAAAAAGCTCGCTCTCTCTTTGAGCCCCACTGACGTTCGCTCTCTTTTGGCCAACTGTCCGTGTGAGCCGTGGCCAAAAGGAAATGCGTCAGCAAACAAGCTTTTCGCGAGGGTGCCTCACACGGACACTGTCTGTGTAATCCGTGTGAACGGCTTTTGTGTGCGTGCGTATCTATGAGTTTTTTGTTCGAACCATAGCGATCTTAGCGGTCCGCTAACAGTTGGCAGATACTAAGTAGTTGGGGCACAGCTCAGTTCAAAGGAGATTAGATTTAATAAATTTAATTTTAATTTGAATAAATAGTTAACAATATAATTTTTTGGTCTTTCCGAATTTTACATTTTCAATTTTTTCGAAATACTGCACTTCATCGTAGAGATTAAAAACAAACAGTACTCTGTGGAAGAAGTCAATTGTGTTTAGTTAACCAGAGAAATATCTAGAAGTTTTAATTAACTGAAACATTAAAACAAATAAAAAAAAACATTTACATATAGTGTAACTTGACCAATTTTTAAGCACCCAAAGTTAACTATTAATTTTCATTTTTTCAAAACATTACTTTTTCACAATTTCTTATATTTTATCTTACTTTTTTTAACTAAAAAAAATTGTAATTCCGGTCATGTGTTATTTGATTAGTTTTCGTATTAATTTGACTTGGGTATTTTTTTCTTTTTATCAGTTTTAAATCTTTTATTGGTGCGAAATTTCTGGTTTTCTTTTCGTATTGAAATGCCTTGACAAAATAATAACGAACCGCGAGCACTTTAGTGACATAATCAAATTAGGCGCAGTGGCCAAAATGTACTGCTGGCATAAGTCAAATTCACATTAGCCACACATTTTCGAAAATTTCGGGTTGCAACTCCAGTTCGTCGGTGGATATTCAATGTAAATTGGCTGGCTGCAAAAAGAAACATGCGCCGCATAGTCTGCTTGATTCTGTGTGGCTTCGTGACTGAACTTTTGATCTCTGATTTTAGTGTGTTTGGCTCAGTATTCTTGTTCGCTTCGGCTTGTTTTTTGCTGCCTTTTGGCCAGGTTTTAGCGGCTCAAGCCTTGATATGGGTGCATTGATTGAATGCTGCGGCGGTGTGGGTAATTTGACATTTTAATGCTGCAGAGGAAATACTCGCCAACGGCCATGTAAATGGAACGTGTGAACAATGAGTGGACCGCAAACGCTCACAAAAGGAGAACAAACGCTGGCCAAATCATGTTGGATTTATGTGCATTAAATTAATTGTGGACATAATGCCCGGGCATAATGGCGGCCGAGCGTATTAGGCTTTTTGTAATGTGCAGTTGAAGGCGAAGGTCGCCAGACATCAACGCCAACATCGCCATGATCATCGCGATTATGGCTGTCATCAGCATCACAATCGGTGGCAAAGTCTGACTCAAAGTTGAACTACATTCACGGCTTTTGGGAGCGGCGGGTGGTGGTGGCGTTGGTTTTGGGCTTAGGCCTTGCCTTTGCTTGTGGCGCTTCTTTTGTGGCCAGCTCTTTGACTAATGTGAGGCTATACAGTTTGAGCCGCAGAATCACCGGACTGCAGTCGTGCGGATGACTTAAGCGCCTTAATAAAAATATGCAAACCAAACACGAAATCAACGGCAACAAAAGACCCAAGACAAGCCACCAAGCTCAAGTTCAAGTTTATGCATCGGGTTTTGGCCGGTGCGGTTTCTTTTTCTTCGCTCAGTTTTTATGGTTTTTCTAGATCACTTTCATTTTGTTGTTGATTCGCCATTTGTATAAATGGACAGAGATAAATCGAAGGTATTAGATGAAGCTGTTGATCTCGATTTGTTTACCTAGCACTTAATTTTATGGATTAAAAAAAACATTTAAATATATAAGAGTGCTTATAAATTATGGGTATAATTATATAAACATAAAGACAGTTTTATGATTTTTAAAATAAGTTTATGAAGCCAACGCAAAGACATAAAATTCTGAGTAAGGAACAAACAAAAAGAATTAAATTTTCTAGCTTTAATGGTTCCCCGCAAATGTATTTTTTATGATACTGTTCCTCCACTATTTGTTAATTGCCTATGCAAAGTTTTTAAGCGTGGGCTGTGCCAAAATTGTTAAAAATTCAGTAAGCAAACGAGAATAATGCTAAGTGAGTAATAAAATCGGACCAAAATCTATATTAATGGCTCAAAATAAATTAGAAAGTGGCAGATTTTCACAAGAACCGTATGATAACACTGAGAAACTAATTATGAATAATTGAATATTCAATTTTCGTTCATATATGCAAGGTAATGCTATTTTCAGTCTACAATACACAGATCGCCAACTCATTTGCATATGATTTTATCCGAGTCTTCTAAAGAGGAGGGTCTTTCATTAGTAAATTTGCTGTTTGACATTTTGCGTTCACTGGCCGCCAGTCTTACTTATATATTTAAATGATGCAGAAATGACGTCAAAGCTCAGCTCGTAATCAAGAAGAAATGATTAAACATAAGATTAACCACGTCTGAATGCTTTTACCAAAAGATATGTAAGACTAATGATTGACATTATTATGTATTTATGCAACCCGTGGAAACCTTCTGAATTACGTATATGTTTGTTGACTTTTTAGGTAATATTCCCACTTGAAACTTGTTTTTTCTTTCTTCAACTTTTTTTATAAGTTGAATAAAGGTTTCCTATAAACCAGAAATTTTATTTCAGCCAGTATTTACACAAAACAATATTAACCGCAGACTAGTCTTTCATTCTAGAGGAGTCACGCCCGAAATTTATGGATATTTTGGGGGTTTTTTTTTCTTAAAAAATAAAGATTATATAACCAAATGATATAAACATGTTAAGAGTAGATTTGTTTAGAAGCTTTCAGTCCGTGAAGCTGGCCAGTAATGTTCTTCTCGGCAAGCCAATTGTGCCATTAAAACAGATTTAAATCTTAGTCAGCAAACACCTTTCGTGTTAGCAGGCAATAAATTATACCATATACCGAGTAAAAAAAACAAAGCTATTCAAATTTGCTTAAGCTTTATTCGGCTTTCGGCGGTCAAATGGCAAAAAACCCGAAAGCAAGAAGTTTGCTAAGAGGAATAAAACATTATTTATAGATGGTAATTAACAAGCCGCAAACAAAAGATTGTCATTTATTATAGGGCAGAAGCACTCATGAATTTCATTCAAGCACGTTCGATTTATCGAGCGCTGCTTAACATTTGTCATTTGCCATTTGTTGGCAACTTTTTTTTTGTGCACCTTCGATTCTCTCATTGCGTTTGCTCCAGTTTTGAGATGCCACGCATTTGTCAATCGAATGCCGAACATGTTTCGATGTCTGATCCGCGCAAATATGCCCCAAACTGATTAAGTTTGCTTTGGCTTTTTGGCCAATCAAAAGTTTGGAACCACTTTTTGTGGCGGAGCCAACTAATTGCGCTTAATGGCGTTCGAGTTGATTTCTAAATTGTCCAAAGTGGAGTCTCCGAAACTTATAACTTGATTGAATTTACGCAGATTGCAAATACATACTTTATATGTGGAGAATGTTTGCCGAGTTTTTTTTTTTTTTTTTAATCAATGTGACAAACTCAGAGCAGTTTGATCGGTTGATTTGCACAAGGAAGCTGCTGATACCAATCAAGTCTCATTGTCATCCACTTCATTTTCTCCCTGCTCATCAGCGAATTTAAGCCTGGTCAATTTATCACAATCACAAGTTCCGAAAGGAAACTGCGAAGGTAATGCCGGCAAACGCTGAAAAAGTAAGTGCTTTATTTAATTGAGCACTTCTTTTTGGCTGTTTGTTACATTCAGTAGTCAGGGTCTTTTCTCGGTCGTAGATCAGCCAGAAATTTATCATAATTAAAGAGACGCCGAGCGACATAATTTGACCCAAATTTTCGGAATTGAGATTGGAATGCGAATGAAGTGGCAAAAGATTTTCCTTTTGGATGGCCATAAACGGTTTCGTGCTGGAGCTAAGGTCTTTTGGATTTTTAGCTTGAGGTTGAGCCGAGTTCGACTTGACTTGGGTTTGAGCCCGGGCAAATAACATTTGTCAATTGAAATGGCCAGAAAAACAGAAACTTGTACCAACTTCGGGTCGAAGACAATCGTGCAAAACCTTCGACATTTAATTTTGTTTCGCTTTTGTTTATCTTTGGTCTGCACGTTTGGTTAGCAAAGAAAATTGTCTAGAAAAAAAAAAAAACAGTTTACATGCAGCAATTTTTGTTGCTTCTTTTTTCCGTTTGATAATTGCCCGCAAAAAGGTCAACGGAGAGCCGAAAACAAATTTTTGATTCGTTTTTTGATGGACACTCTATTTTTTTTGCCACTGTTTTGACCTCAACACCCACGAAATTAACAACAATAATGACCTTTGACAGGCTGTTCGCACTTAAATCTCTTGCTGTAATATTTTTTGGGAAAACTCCGGTTCGGACTAACAATGGGTTGCAGAGAGTAAAAGACCAAAACGAATCTTTCGATTTGACATTTTCCGTGTAATTGGCCAAATGCGGTTAGGGGCCCGGCCCCGCTGAGAACCTTGAATTATCAGACCAAGACAATACCGCCGCTCCGCCCTCGATTGCCGCCGAACACGAAGTGCACACGGAACCAGACTTCAGAGCCTCCAAACAGAACCTGAGTGTCAGCCCCCGATTTCTTACCGATTTTGGCGGCTGATTCCAGTAAAGAACTGGCTGGCACGCCCCCTGCAACGCCCACTTAAAACACCTACTGCAGCCAGTTTGGCTGCCCGAAAATCGTAAATAATGCAAATAAAGATATTAGTTGAGCTTTGTCGTGAGTGCCTCCGCAAGATAATTAGGAATCTAGATAGCAAATACTGGTATTAAATATAAAAGAGGAACAGAAATTATTTAAAATATTTAAGTTATT